AACTTACATGCATACATGCACAACCATGGACACAGACATTAGGTTGGGGAAAACAAGGGAGGGGGGTGGAAGTGGGAAGGAGGAAGGTCATTGGGGGAAAAAGGGGAGACATCCGTAATACTTTTTTTTTTTTATCCTCACTCCAAGACATTTTTTCGTTTTTTGTTCAGATAGAGTGGGAGGGAGAGAGAAGAAGAGAGAGAGAGAAAGAAACATCGACATGAAAGGGACACATCGAGTGGTTGCCACCCGCACAACCAAACCAGGGCCGGGGACAAACTGCAACCGAGGTACATGCCCTTAGCGGGAACCGAACCCAGGTCTCCCTGGACCACAGGCTGACACTCTAACAGCTGAGCCAAACCAGCCAGGGCGACATCTGTAATACTTTAAACAATAAAAAAAAAAAAGTATTTTGTATTAAATAGGATGGGCTAAAATGCTGTAAAAATAGACCAAAAATGTAATGACTCACATTTAGTACAAGTTTATTTCTGTCATGTAACAGTCTGGGTAGAATGTCAGGTCACTGGGTGGCTTTGCAAACAAGTGTTTAATGGCTAGGAAATGTGAACAGGACCCAGGAGCCAGCTGGAAGGAACTTGTACAGTTTGGGAAAATTGGGGCATTCAAAAGAATAAGGGTGGCAGATTATAACACACCAAATAAAAGTAAGTCCATGAATCCATAATATATTTCCAGGGGAAAAAATTGCCAGAGAGCAAAAGCAGAAGGAATCCTAGAATCAAAATCACCATTTTGTAATTCACAAGATGGTAATTGATTCAGGCAAGGGTGATAAATGGATGCTAAAGCTGTTGGATGAAACAGTGTTGTGGAACAGCATAGTCTAATAGCCTCATGTATTACCCTGGAGATTACTTATTGATTACAAAAGGGAAAAGGGACCCGTACAATAGGAGTATATGACAGACAACTCCTTAATTAGATGATCTAGCTTCACACAACCAGTGATGAGAAAAACTGGCATAATGGGACACATAATTCAGATAGTGTTCTTGCGGAAAATGTTTATCTAATACTGAGGCAACAGTTACATGGACAATTCCAGTTCGTGCAATATTCTACAAGATGACTGGCCTGGAGTGTTTAAAAATGTCATTGTGTCACTCTCATTAGGCATCCTTGTGAGAGTGATATCATCTTTAAACCCAGCATGGCAATTCCTGACACACCGCCGTGATACCCAGGGAAGACGGTGACCTAGAAGCCAACGACTTCTTTAGGATCATCCAGCTTCTGACGATTACGTAAAATGGTTCATTGTGGGAGCAAACAGTATGGGCTTCGTGCAGATGCAGCAGATCCGCAAGTCCCTTCTGGGAAAGGCTGTGGTGCTGAATGGCAAGAACACCATGATGCGCAAGGCCATCCCAGGGCATCTGGGAAACAGCTCAGCTCTGAAGAAACAGTTGTCTGGCATCTGGGGGAAGGTGTGCTCTGTGTTTACCAAGGAGGACCTCACTGAGAGCAGCCACATGCTGTTGGCCAATAAGGTGTCAGCTGCCGCCTCTGCTGATGCCCTTGCCCCAAGTGAAGTCACTGTGCCTGCCTAGAACACTGGTTTGGACCAAAAACGACCTCCTCCTTCCAGGCTTTAGGCATCACCACTAAACTCTCCAGGGGCACCACTGAAATCCTCAGTGACATGCAGCTGATTAAGACTGGAGACAAAGTGGAGCCAGTGAAGCCACACTCTTGAACATGTGAACATCTCCCCCTTCTCCTTTGGGCTGATCCCCAACAGGTGTTCAGCAGTAGCAACAGCACCACCCTCTCTCCTAAGAGGCAAACAGTGCAGTTTACATTTCTGTTTTTTTTTTTCCAATTTTTATGAGTGATGCTGACCCTCTTTTCATATGTATAATAGCCCATTAATCCTTTTTTGTGTGAACTGTCTCTTCATATCTTCTTCTTTCTCTTTAAGTTTGTTATTTCTTTCTTAAATGTTTGGTAGAATTCATCAATGAAGACATCTGAACCTAGAATTTTCTTTATTAAAGGTGTTTAAGTTCAAATCAGTTTCTGTAATAGGGATTTTTAGGGATATTTTTAAATGAGTTTTAGTGTCTTTCCAGAAGTTTGTTTCATTACAGTTGTCTCATTTATTGGAGTTAAGTTATTCATAGTAGCCCCTTATTATCTTTTTAGTGTTTGTAAGATCTGTAGCGAGGTCCTGTCTTTCCTAATTTTGATAAGTTATTTCTTAGTTTGGCTAGAGGTTTATCAATTTTATTGTTTTTGTTTTAAAGAACAAGCTTTTGGTTCATTGGTTTTTCTGTTGTTTTTTTTAATTTCATTGTTTTCAACTTTTTATTACATCCTTCTGTTAGGGGTTTAATTCACCCTTCTTTTCCTTAAGGTATAAACTTAGTTCACTGACTCAAAATCTCCTTTTCCATTATAGGCAAATATAAGAAAATCAGAACAAAACAATGCAAAAGATGTACTGGAAATTAAAATTGAATTTTGATTTTACCAATTTTCTTATACTTGCATTGTTGCTTTTCAAAGTTTTTTTTTTCTACTATAGCTTTTTAAAAATTCTGATTAAGTAATATGTACTAGCTGTTAAAAAATTTAAAAGGGTACAGAGAATTATAAAGAATTGTGTTAGGATAGGACATAAAAAATAATCACAAAATTCTTGCAGCTTAATACAACAAACTTTTATCTCTTACACTGTACATCCGTTGTGAATCATCAGGGGCTTTGCTCCACATAGTCACTCAAGGACCCAGGTTGACAGAGGCTCTACCATCTTGAGCAGGTATGGGTGAGCACTATAATTCGATACCCCGGGGGGCAAGGGGAGGATCCCCTTGCCTCCTACTCGGAGATACTCCCTACTTCCTGTCTGGTCCCACTGACGTTCCTCATGGCCAATCTTGTTTGGGTTGGTGGAAATGACTCCTGTGGTCTAACAAATCACTGATTCACATTTTGTTGTGTTCTACCTTTGCCGCTCTTAACTCATTTTATCAGTGTATAAATGAGACCTGGGAAAGGACAGATCAAGAATCCCTTGCTAGTTGCTTTAATAACAAGTAACTGGTAACAGTGATTTTCTTTTAATACCTTGCTTTAGAATGTCTCTGAAAGCTACCTAAGTAACTGGTAATGGGTTTTGTCTAGGGAGGGACTGGATAGTGATGAATGGGGCTGAGGGACGTTGAAAGAGTGGGTAGGATTAATAATTTCACTGTATACACTTCCTATAACTTGAGGTTTTGACTATGTAAATTGCTATGACCTATTTTTTTAAAGAACTCTTCTTATATTTTCTATATTGAATCTAATTATACTATGTAAATGAATAAAAAAACATCTGTTCTTTAAACTTGTCAGACAATGCCCAGCCGGTGTGGCTCAGTGGTTGAGAATCAACCCATGCACCAAGAGGTCGCTGGTTCGATTCCCAGTCAAGGCACATGCCCAGGTTGTGGGCCTGATCCCCAGTGGGGGAGATGCCGGGGGTGGCCAGTCGATATTCTCTCTCATCGATGTTTCAGTCTTGTTCTCCCTCTCTTTTCCTCTCTCTCTAAAATCAATAAAGAAAAAAATATTAAAAAAAAAAAAAGTTGTCAGACAATTGAATGCATTTTGTTTTTGCACTAAATTTTGACATATTAAGCAAAAACCACATTTTAAAAAATTTATATTTACCTTTGGAGGAATACAATTACATTATCCAAATAGATCAGTCAGTTAAGGTCCTTTGAGTACCAGGAATCAACATGGTCACTCTCAGTTGGATATTACCTTTTTGGAAAGCTCTTTCACATACATGAATTGGAACCCTTTCTACATTTCCAGTTGTGAGTGGAGCCATAACTGAGGTTCACTGAAGATCATGATCTTTAAAATCAGACCTGAGCCTCACTTCAGCTCCAACACTTACTAGTCTTGCAACCTCGGAAACATGTGTATTAACCCCCAAGCCCTTTTCCTCCTGGGGAAAAAAATAATGCCCTTTCATGATTGCTGAAAGGTATGTAAAACCCCTGGACAGGGCTCAGTTATTTCTCCCACAGGCTTTCTCCATTCAAACTCAGCAAATTCAGCATGCTAATTTAATTTTCTGTAGAGTAATTGACCAGAATGTTCATTCACTGTGTTCATCTTCCCATCCTGTTTCATGCACATGGTTTTTGTTCAGCTTTTCTGAGATTGCATAATACAACTATTTGATTATAATACTTCTATGAATGTATTGTTTAATTTATTAGTTTTTTAAAATTTTATTCTTTTATCCTCACCTGAGGACATTTTTTTCTATTTTTTGTTCAGATACAGTGGGAGGGAGAGAGAGAGAAACATTGACATGAAAGGGACACATTGAGTGGCTGCCACCTGCACGACCCAACCAGGGCCAGGGACAAACTGCAACGGAGGTACGTGCCCTTAGCGGGAACTGAACCCGGGTCTCTCTGGACCGCAGGCCGACGCTCTAACCGCTGAGCCAAAGCGGCCAGGGCTTTTTACCTATTTTTTAAAAGGTATTTTTTTCATGAATGTACAGAGGACTTTCCAAAAGCTATATGAAGTGTGATATCACACCTGATTTAATATAGATGAAAATTCAACTGTCTTCTTTTGAGCCAGACACAAGCTACCTGTGAGATGTGAAACAATACCACTTTGCTCATTCAATTTTTTGGTTTGGGAAAACAGAATTTTTCATTTTAAGAAATGTTACGTATGTTAACATACAAGTGTCAAAAGGTCCTGTAACCAAACTATGAGAACTGCTAGTTTATACTCAGAAACCTGTAGGTGAAAACTGTAATGTAAGCAAGACTTCTTTAAATAGATGACATGTTATATGCACCCATATCTCAGGATCTTTGGAGGACTTTCAGCTTAAGTATCCCCTTTGTTCCTTTGTCTAAGCAGAGATCTGGAGCCAGTTATATTGAACTCCAGTTACTAAGATAGCTATTAATGATGGTTATTTTTATTTTCTATCTTTCACACAGCTTATTCATGTTGCATTTTGGTATGCTAGGAACCAAAAGTAAGGTCATTGAAGACACCAGACTAATAAAATAGGAAGATCATCAGCTGAGAAACACCTGCTGGAGAAAGCAGAGTAAGTATGGTGTGTTGTTAAGAACTGGGTTGTTGAAAGGAGGGGGTGTGGGGAGGGGGTCGATGGGGGGAAAAGAGGAGGACATCTATAATACTTTCAACAATAAAAATAATAAATAAATATGTCCAGCTGGTGTGGCTCAGTGGATTGAGTGTCACCCCATGAACTGAGAGGTCCCAGTTCGATTCCCGGTCAGGGCACATGCCTGAGTTGTGGGCTTGATCCCGTGGAGGGCATGCAGGAGGCAGCCGATCGACGTTTCTCTCTTATATCAATGTTTCTATGTCTTTCTCCCTTCCTCTCTCCCCCCTCAAAAAAATCAATAAAAATATATTTTAGAAAATTTTTATATAAATAAAAGAGTGGGTTAATAAATTAATACTTCTAAACTGGTCAGATCACAGTACAAGCCCAAAGATGCCTGGAAAAGGACTTCCACATTAACTTTTTAAATTATATATGAAGCAATATGACTTGATTCATAAGTAGTTGAAAAATTATTTAGGAAAAGAACCATCTTATAAATCTCAATCTCTGGAGTTAATGTGAATATTTTTCAAGAAAAAATTTGGGATAGGTAGCCCATCAAAGGATTTTTGTCTTGTCCTGGGGGGCTTGTATAAAGAATAAAATGTTGGCATTTTTAATACTTTTAGTGGTTTATTGAGGACATGGGGTATAAAGTTGGTATCACTTAGCAAGTCTTGGTTTCCATGATCATGATATTCAGGAACCGTTGTAAAATGGCCAGAGCTTGTTTCCATGGCCTTTTCTGCCTCGAGTTGCACCTCTCCCCTGGGCCTTGCCTTCCTCTTCCCTGAGTGTCTTCCAGCCTTGCCGCGCCCTCACCGTCCCACCTCAGACGTGTCCTCCTCCCCTCCCCCTCTTCCGCCACCTTTGCCGCCCGTACCCCCAGGAGACAGTCCTCCAGGAGCAGCCTGCTCCTCCGGCCTGCACAGCCCCACTGCGAGAGTCGAGAGTCGGTAATGAAATGGAAACTTGGGAAACATCCCTTGGATGTTGCCTATTTAAACATGAATCCCTTAGCTTTGCTTATTTATTTTGCATAGGAGTTATTAAGGATAAAATAATTTTATACAAATAAATTTTAAATTTTATACTAAAGATAACTTTTAAAAAGGGGGGTCTTCATAAACATGAACTCTCACTCTTTCCTTTACTCACCTCCATTCCAAACCAGTATTTGCTATTTAAAACTAAGCCTGGTTTTTTTTCTTGGCACAGGAGGGCTTCATGTGGTCTTATCACCCATCTATGCTTCCTTAACCAAGCACCACCACTTAACAAAGCTAGTGGCATGCTCTTTAGATCATATAGCAAATCGGGAATGGAGCTTTTTTTGAGAGAGGGTCGGGTTAAACTACACAATATATTTGAGTATAGAAAAAAATTTGAATGCGTAAGAGAACTCGTTTCATTGGTTCTTTTACACCTACGGTTATAAACATGGGTATTCAATGACTTTTAAAAATTGTTTCTATGTATACACATATGTGCATGTATAAATATATTATTTGTGTACCTTAATAAGTGAGTTTATGACATTGGTGTATTTATGGCCATGAAAATATGTTAAAGAAAAAATTATTCATGACCCTTGTTGAATAATGGTAGGTAAACCTTATTCAGGACGATTGTAATAGGTGTACGGACCATGATGATGCAGTTTTGCAGTGACAGGAAGAGATTGGGCTCAACTCCAAATACAAGTGGGAATTTATAGCCAGGAGCAAGGTGGGGGTTGCTGGATGGAATATTACTAAGGAAACGTCAAGGGTAAGAGGGGATTCTGGCTAATCCCTAACAGGATTCTTGCTGAAGGCAGGTCAGGGTGATTGGACATCACCTGGGGCATGGTGAGATATCTAGTGGGAGATCAGCCCTGGCCAGTTTGGCTCAGCGGTTGAGCGTCGTCGGCCTGCAGACTAGAGAGTCCCGGGTTCGGTTCCCACTAGGGGCACGTACCGCCACAAAAATAAATAAAAATAAAGTCTAGTAGGAGATCAGATATTGAGGATGAGATGCTGGCTAACCTGATTTAGCAGGATTCCTGCTAAAATAAGACAATGAAAAGATGAACACAGAAGCTCAAATGTCAGGCCTAACTCTTCTCATTTAGGAGAGACTATTTGTCAGGTTAGGATTCTTTCTGTGAAGAGAACTGCCAGCCTTCTCCCATTCTGAATTCTTTACCTCAGACAATATCCTCATTACTCCTTTGAAATTATTTAATCAGTTATCTACTTGTTAGCACATTCCATTTTTTACCTTTTAGACTTGATTCTCCCTAACTTATTTTTTCCTTAAAAAAGTTTGAGAAATTAAAAAAGACCTATAAATCAGTGTGTACCTTTTAAGTTTTTTCTGTATAGGTATAATGTCTTAAAAAGTAATGACATAATTTTGTAACCGGCAATTCACTTAATTAAACATAATTGTGGAAATGTATATTATTTTTTAAACATGTACCAACTTCTGAGGCTTAACACTGAATAAGTATAGAAAAGGTAGAATGAAAACAGTCTTCCCCCTAATTTGAGACATTTTTAATAGCTGCAGGATAGTACGTGGTAGGGACGGATTGTGTATCATTCTAATCCTCTCCACTTGTTGACATTTGAGGATGGATCTGTTGTTATATTTGGGTTTGGTTTTATATTGCTACTTAGAACTACTGTGGTTGAACAGTATTGCAGATACATCTTTGGGTTAACTGAGATTTTGTTTTTATAATAAATCTTGAATTTCCTTCCTTTTCTTCCATCCTTTCCTGATTTCTTCCTCTCTGACCTTTCTTTTTCACCATCTCTTTTCTCCCGCCTCCAAGTGCATTTACCACTCAAGCTTCAACTCCTGTTCTTTTGCCTTTACTTAGCACTTCTTAATGTTCTCAGGTATCCATACTCAGTCCTATTCCTTCTCTGCATTCTCTTGTCTCTCCAGGTGTCACATCTGAAAGATCATGTCCAGAAGACAAATCTTTCCTTCCTTTACCAATGTCCCCATTATTTTCAACGGAATAGTCTGTTAAGTATATTTGAGCTTCATAAACTTAATCTGAAATGATGATTCTACAGCTAAAACGTTTTGAACACTGCCATACTAGAGGGCCTCATAAGCACTACATCTGTTCCGCTGACAGAAAGAAAAGGCGGACGGGTGAAGTAACATTATCTTGAGTCAGAGTGGGACTTGGTTAACAGCTGTCAGTGCTAGTTCTGAGTTTACCTGCAGGCTGCTATTTAAGTCTGTGTTTTCACTCCAGTAGGTAAAAAGTATCTTTTTAAAAATTATTAAAACTTGTACTTACATGGAAGTTTTAGTAATTTATATGTAACATTTTGGTTATAGATCTGAGTTCTGAATGATCTGGGTCTCAAAAAATGACCAATGTGTACATATTAATTCTTCATCATATTCTATATTCTATAAGTTTTATGAGAAATATAAATTCCTATTCAAACATTATTTATGGAAATGATTGGATTAAATTAGGTTTGGGGAATTGCAGTGCTTGTTTTGTCAAGTTTTAAAAGAGAGATAGAATCAAGATAACATCAAGATTTTCTTCACTTTTCTTTGCAGGGATGGAAAATAAAGCAATGCAGTGTTTTAGTCGTATATATTTCAGCAGGCCTTCTGAAGTTTAACTAAAAATATGACTGCTCTTTCTTCAGAGAACTGCTCTTCTCAGCACCAGTTACATCAAACAAGTCAGCCCCTTGATGGTAACTTTCTGCTTGTCTTGATTATACTTGGAAAAATATTATTAAATATCCTCACACTGGGAATGAGAAGAAAAAACACCTGTCAAAATTTTATGGAATATTTTTGCATTTCTCTAGCATTCATTGATCTTTTACTTTTGGTAAATATTTCCATTATATCTTATTTCAGGGATTTTGTACTTTTGGGCATTAGGTTTACTAAATACCACATCTGCTTGTTTACTCAAATTATTTCTTTTACTTATGGCTTTTTGCATTATCCAGTTTTCCTGATAGCTTGTATAGATTATTATATTAATTTCTCTAAAATCAACCTTCCATTTAAGTGTCAGAAATTACTTTATTTCTTTACAGTAATTATAATTTGGATTTCAGTTTTTGCTTATGTTTTGGGAGATCCAACTATCTACCAAAACTTCAAGGCACAGAATGTTTATTCTTATCAATGTCCTTTCTACATCAGCATTCAAAGTTACTGGCTGTCATTTTCCATGGTGATGATTTTATTTATGGCTTTCATAACCTCTTTGTCAGAAGTTATTACCTTGGTACAGGCTATTAGGATAACTTCCTATATGAATGAGACTATACTATATTTTCCCTTTTCATCCCACTTGAGTGATACTGTGAGTTCTAAAAAAACACTCTTGCCGAGGTTCCTTGTCTGCTTTCTTGGTACCTGGTTACCATTTGTACTACTGCAAATAATTATCCTTTTATTTAAAGTACAGATTCCCTCATATATTGAGATGAACATTCCGTGGTTGTACTTTGTCAATAGTTTTCTCATTGCTACTGTTTACTGGTTTAATTGTCAAAAGCTGAATTTAAGAGACATCGCATTACCTGTGGATCCATTTGTCAACTGGAAATGCTGCTTCATTCCACTTGCAATTCATAATCTTGAGCAAATTGAAAAGCCTATATCAATAATAATTTGTTAATATGTTATTACGTTAAAACTTACAACTGCGGAAAGAATAATGACTCAGGACATACAAAAATTGAACTGATCTGAAGCCTTCCTCCACCGACCTGCCTCCCCGTGCTCATGCTTTTTCAGAATGTGTGTTTTGGGGCTATGACATTATTTGTTTGTTTGTTTTTAACAAAAGAATTCAAGAAGAAAATGTTATACCTGTTCATGAAAAATGCATGTTGCAAATATTAATACAGAAGTGAAATGACTTTACATTTGGCCACACTGATGTTTGTGTTGTCCAAAAAACTACTGTATGCAAACTGTTATGTAAATCTGAGATTCGCTGCCAACTTTGATAGAAACTTAAATAAACTCTGTATTAAATTCAGAGCAAGAAAATCAAGATCATTTTCTTAAAATGATTTGGTACAAATATTCTTTAACATAAGGAGAAGAATAGCTCAATTTAAGTTTAGCTAATTTTAAAAACCAAATCTGGCCCTGGCCGGTTTGGCTCAGCGGTTAGAGCGTCAGCCTGCGGTCCAGAGAGACCCGGGTTCGGTTCCTGCTTAAGGGCACGTACCTTGATTGCAGTTTGTCCCCAGCCCTGGTAGGTCATGCGGGTGGCAGCCACTCGATGTGTTCCTTTCACATCGATGTTTCTCTCTCTCTGTTCCTCTCTCTCCCTCCCACTCTACCTGAACAAAAAGTGAAAAAAATGTCCTCGGGTGAGGATAAAAAAAAAACCAAAAACAAAAAAACCAAATCTGTTCATAATTAAATATTTCTGGAAGCAAAGTTTTAGCTGCTTAACCTTACACAACTAGGAGTAGTGACTAAGTCTCTTTCCATGACATACCAGATTAATTTTGTTATAATTATTTGTCACTTGCAGTGTCAAATCATAATTACATTGGCAATGTATCACACTGTAAAAATAAAGTAGGGTTTCTTGTTATCGGCACTCTTGATATTTTGGGTTACATGATTCTTTGTTTAGGGAGACTGCCCTGTGCACTGTGGGATGTTTATCAGCATCCCTACCCTCTACCGACTAGATGCCAGTAGCACCTTCTTCCCCAGTCATGACAATCAAAATGTCTCTAGACATTGCCAAACCTCCTGTGGTTGGCAGAATGACCCCTGGCTGAGAACTACTGGAATAAAGGAATCTGAATGGCGAATAATCTGAAGTCACTTTGTGAATTAAACTGAACTACATAGACATTGTTAATCTGTCGGTGTCTAAACTTGGCCCTCTTCTCTGTTTCTTTTCCTCTGAATGTATTGTTTTCTAATTGGCCATAACATGGGACTATGATATTTAAAAATATATTGTACTTAATTTATAACTATTTCAGACCCCTTATTAAGCTTTTTTTGTTGTTCAGTTAGAAAGTGTATTCCCCATGCCTCATAAGCTTAAAGAAAAAAGAAATTATTCAATAGACCAGCCAAATGGAAGAGGCTTTTATTTGTAAAGAAATGAACTTAACAGCTGGTCTACAATATATTATTGAACTATAAACAATATAAATAAATGATCCTGTAGGCCCACTAACCTTCCATCCAGACCCACATGAAGCAATGTTACACAATATTCTGTGAAAATGTGCAGGTAACAAAGGTGCAATTACAAGCAAATTTAAGCAGCAGAGTATAAGGTGCTTTAATTTAACAGTTAATGTTGCCATCAACAAACATTTGAATGTTTAATTTTACTTCACTGAATACAGACACAACAAATATGAAAATCTAAAATTAATACACATGCTACTTATATGAAAGTGCCTTTTCTTTTAAAAAAAAATACATCAAATGGACAATCTTTTTACACAGATCGTGGTGTGCTCTTATAATGTAAAATTAACTTCATTTTCATGTTATACATTTGAAAACTGTAGCTACAGACACCAATCTAGGAACACTAATACTAAGAGAGCTAAAACTATTTAATTTCCTGTAAGGAGGACTCTAATACAATATCCAATGTAAAGAATACATCTATATATAATCTTAACATTTGTTTTCTGTAAAGATAAAAAATGTTTTTTCCCCTTGGTGATGATGCTTTGTTCATCCTGGGTGGATCAGCTTTTGAGGTTTTAATAATATGAAAGTCCTATTTTAGAACAATGTGAAGAACCAAAAGGAGAAATATAAAAAAGTCAATTAACATGTGCTTGAAGCATCAAAAATTAACATTAAAAAAAAACTAATTTATCACAACAATTTGCCTTTGTCAAATCAACAAAAATAATTAACAAGCAAGACAAAAAGCACTAATGCAGAAAGAGGCTTGAACTGTCTCCCATGCGTGTCAGCATCCCTCCTGCACACTGCTGCCTCCTACTCCCACCCTCCACAAGCTCACTCCTTACTCTGAGGATCGTTTCTGAAACCTACTTGGACTATTTTTTTCTTACAGGGAAAAAAACCAAAAAGCTTTTGAATAAGGTGAATGGGAATCTGGGTAAACGTTGAACGTCTCAGAAGTTAGACATCCAAAATTATACGATCTTTGCACACTACATTGACTTTTTAAACTTTTAAGAATACACATATAAAAATATTTATCTATTTTAACAATATCTACTTTAACAGCATAAAATACTTTAAAAATTGGGTAAATCAAAGCATTCTAAAATTAAATTTAAACGCAGACTCTTGGTTACTTAGGTGTCAGTGTTTCTATTTTAATCAATTTGTGAAAGATTCTAATCCAACATGTATTTGGACATTTTCCTGCTTTAAGCAGCTGTGACTATGATGCATAAAGGTCTTTTTAACAGATTCATTTTTTATCTTTATAGTAAAGCTGCATCAATAGGAATTACAATGTAATTCACAGAATCCTCAAGTGGTAAGGAATCTCTACCCAGTTAATAAATGACCCCATTCATTGCTTACTCCCCAAATACTTGTCAATTTAAACATGGAACTCTTTTGTTTACTAGTTCTGAATTTTATTTATTTATTTTAAAATATTTTTTATTGAATTTTTTAGAGAGAGAAACATCCATGTGAGAGAAACATCAATCAGCTGCCTCCTGCATGTCCCCTCTATTGGGGATTGAGCCTGCAACCTGGGCATGCGCCCTGACCGCGAATCAAACTGGGACCTCTCAGTCCATGGGACGATGTTCAATCCACTGAGCCACACTGGCCTGGTCTAGTTCTGCATTTTAAAGGAAACACTTTTACTATGTAATGTGTGCTTTCTAAAAAGTAGATATTTGTAATAAAATTTAATTTATGTAATCTTTCTTGCTTTCAAAATAAACCAAACCAAAACAAAAAAAACAATACAAGATTAAAAAAACTACAACTGTTAAGTGATCTCCTTTGAGATTTTTCAATTTTAGAGAATTACTTCACTCTCAATACTGGGTGTAAAGCTTCTGTTGTTCAAAATGTATAGAAAGTCAGCACCAGCTTTCTATCACACACCCTGTATAGCAATATCTCTGGAATAGATTAAAGGATCAAAATAATTCTTAGGAATATGGAGTGTCACAACAGTCTCAAAATATAAATCCTTAATGTTAGTACCCTTAATTTTATAACCTAATCAGGTGTATGACTGACTGATGTTTGGTATGTGAAATACTATAGGAATTAATGTGATTCACTCAGATCCCTTAGCTGTCATCTAGCCTAATCCTTCCTGCAACACATACAAAAATTCCCTAAGTTCCAACTTTACATAAGAAAATTATGTCCATGTCTGTTTAAACTACAATCAGTATTTTGTTTGGGAAGATTTTATTTACTGATTACTAGTTCCTTAAGTCATGTATACCACATGCACACATGTTCAAACGGTTTGCTAAATGAATGGATAAATGCATGAATGATAATGTCCATATGTGTACATCTGTTCTGTGGTAAACTAGCAAGAAGCATTTAGAAAAACGTTACCTGCTTTTCTGTTTGAATTTTCTGCCTTATTCCTTAGGACAACAAAAACTAGGTGACCCAGGAAATAATGCTTAATAAACAATTATATTTTAGCAATAGCTCTGAAGTATGAAATGAACCATTAAAATGGGAATGAGAATTAAGTAGGAGCAACTTAAAAACATCCCATTATGTGGCCCAAAATCATAGTTTTAGAGCTGGGAGGACCCTTAGAGATGATTTTAAACCGAAATCAACATTTTGAGTAGTACAGGCTCCATACTGTATATTCAGAAGAGGAAACTGGTTAAAAGGTAAGTAACTACCTAGGTGTCACACACAGCTATTTCAACTGGATGTAAAACCCCAGTCATTCGTCATATTAATTTAATGATTATGTTCATCTAGTACTTAACTATTGAAGTAGATTTAGTACTACCTAAAACAAAAAGAATTATGACTTTCAACACCATTCTAAACAAAGATTTTAAGCAATGGGTACTTCTGGTTTGCTTGGAGCAAGAACTGAAAAGTTCCTTCTTTCTAAAATAGGTTGACGTTTATTTCATTACCAGCCTGACCACCCTCACAAACACCAACTTATTCACCTTCATCAATTTAAGCTCCAAAAAACATGGATTTAACACTGATAATGTGCCCTAAAGTATAACTTTTAAGCCAGTAATGATGGCTACTATCAACCCTAAAGATTACTGGAGTCGATTTAAATTGGTGGTCTAAAAGGACTTACCATTTTACTCTTAAATCTAAAACTATGCTATGTTAGCATAACGGTGTTGTAGATTTATATTGATTTCTTTTTTCCAAATTAAGATTCATTCATTACTATACTTTCTTTTAAACAATACATTTAAAAACCTTTGCACAGGTTTTGTTTCTATGGGTTACTATTTACGACACCAGTATCACTAAGAGCAATTGTACTTTTCAAAGACAGTAGAAAAAAATATTTTTCTAGTGAACCTCCTTTCCAACATGAGATTAAAACTGTCATCTTTAAATAAAATTAAATTTCATAAGCTATAAAAACAGGAAAAATGGAACATTCGTGGAAAACATTTCCCCAAAGGTTCCATAAACATGGCACTTAACGGGTTCGTGTGTTAAGAGTAGAATGGGACAGTATGCATTAGAGAAGCTGGGCTTATTAACGGGTTCGTGTGTTAGAGTAGAATGGGACAGTATGCATTAGAGAAGCTGGGCTTATTAACGGGTTCGTGTGTTAGAGTAGAATGGGACAGTATGCATTAGAGAAGCTGGGCTTCCCTTTTAATGAACATACACTAAAATGAAAGTTCAGAAAAAGCCAAATGTTTTTCTGGAATATGATGGTAATAATTACCATCGTATTAGTGCTTTACAACTTTCAAAAAAAACTTTCTGAGAGTATTATTTTAAGCTAGACTAAATAAGCTCTAAAAATAATATGTAAAACTTTAGAATTCTTAAAAATTTAGGAAACTTTTTCCAAAGAAGATAATATATTTTATAAAAATTTTTATTGAAGAAATGGCTTGTATTGCTGCTCTGAAGGAAATTATATAATGATACATTTTCTGAACTTCTAAGAAAAGAGGAATATTTTCCAAAGAATTCTTTGAATGATATACAGCTTCTAATAGGTTGAAATTAAATTTTAGTAAAATTGCATATACTTTTCCTAGAACTGTATTTGTGCTTATCTAAATTTAATCACAATCTTTAAGATTAAATCAAATGTTCTAAATAGATTCATAAAATACCAATATTGATGAATGTGAATTAAACAGTTTATTTCATGATCCACACTACTGTGCATCAAAAAATAGAGGTAGGCTTGTGTTTACTGAAATCCACACTGATGAAGAGGAACTTACAGCGCTTAGTCATCCGATCCTTAGACTGAGACACAACCTAGTAAATACAGCCTTAACAATGCTTTTCTTAATAAAAATCTACAAGATTGATTCAACTGTGGCATCTGAAAGTGAATACTCAATAATTCTGATAACAATTATCATGATTAACCTTTGCATTTTTGACAAATATTTTCTAACTATAATAGTTGTCACCTTTTTCAGAAGTCAGAAATCACTAACTTATGTATCAACAGAACTTTTGATATGCTCCTAACAGATAAAGAGAGTGAAAGATTGGAGTTTGATTACAGATAAATCCTGACACACTGAAAACCTGTTATTGCTATAACTGGAATCCAACCATTACAATGTATTATTTTGAAGTACTTAAGGTCCGGTCTATACTACACAACCTCACTCGGGTAACTGTGCTGTCCTCTCAGGTCTGGAATGCTTTTCCTGGTTGGTCTCCTCCTCCACTCCCCACCCCCAGTAGAAAATGCACAGGAAATAGAGCAAATTGTGCATAGATGGGCCAGTTTCCACTGCCCAAAGGTTTCTCTGAAGCATGACTGTTAGTATTAGAAAGCCCTGTCCCAGTTACCTCCCTAAAATTAATCCCACTACAAAACCTTCTCTAAGGATTTTCAGGCAAAGGTCTGTTTAAGAAGAGTCTTCACTATGAGTTTTCTTGGGGCTAGAGGAGGCTGAGGGGAGGTAAGGGGTGAGGAAGGCTCCTTTACACTGTTAGGTAGTGCTCAATGTCGGTTGCATATACACAGCATGTGCTCCTGAAATTCACTAAGGGCGAGGATCTTCAAACCACAAACTAAAACCAGGCTGTCTTGGTTGAAGATAGATCTTTAAAATGTTTGAACCGTGTGTACAGTTAGGGATTTCATCCACTCAATATGGCTGTGAGGATACATCATTTCCATAGATCTATAATAGTTTACTCTTTCCAAAATTGTTTACACACGTGTAAACACAACCTAAGACACAACTATAAATAAAATCTATATTGCCTCCCTACCACACTTGTGCCATGGTAGTACCAACACTCGCAAATGCAAATAATGGGACTTAATATCATTTAATTGAACACGTCAGTGACATGGGGTACTATGACAGATTTCAAACTAAAACAGGTATTTGAATAAATGTCTGACTATAATTTCACACAGGATATATGAAGATTATCAAAATGTCAGAAATTACTCAAAGGCATGGGCATGGTAATACTTATTTCATGTAGTTTTAAGTGTTTCAACATACCAGAAAACAAAAATAAAACAGTGGGCTACTTAATTTCTATTTAAAAATAGGTAAAATATGAACATTAACTTCAAAAGTGCAGAAATCTGTTCAGTGTTGAAGTGGGACAAACTAACAAGTGGCAGGTCTCTTGTCTGTCTCTTGTCTGCCTCATTCTCAAGATTCCTCACTAACAGTTCTTTCCTCCCATTCTTCCTTGCCTACTTCTAGGTGACAGACCTTAAAGTGGGGCTTTAAAAGTGTCCGTTTAGAGGGTGCCACAGCAAATTAAAAGTACCATCCTGGTAGTTAAATGCCACTCAAAAAGTGACAAGTTTTAGGACAGCAATCCGTCTCATACTATACTGATTTCATCGAAGCTACATAGCTGTGTCAGACACATCCCTATACAAGGCCTGATGAAAATCCACATCATGTAAAAAGTAATTTGTACAAACCAGCTCTCAGCTTGTTTACTTTCTTAGGAACACATGGCTTAAAGTAAATAAAATTTCAAACTTATATGTTCTTTTTTCCCTCAATGGAAAAAGAGTGCATCAGTTTAAAGAAGTCAGAAAATGCAAACTTAAGTAGCAAAAGTAGGAAGGACTTCCCATATTCCCTCCTTTACTGTTTGTCATTCCCTCTCCTCAATCAAAATCCTAAAACAATAATATAAAGGAGAATTAAAATAATAGCACTCTTCCCACATACATCATACTAAAACTGTGCTTAAAGCTCAGGAGAGAGGTGGACACCCAGTGTCATCATCTATATCCGTTACATGTAACTGAAATTAAGATGGTTTAATCATCTTAAAAGAAATAGCTGCATTAAAGGTGAGAAAGACCAGTTGAAAGCAAATGCGCCATCTCTAAATAAAACGACTCACTTGAAAAAAGCAAGTATATTTTCTGGGGACAACAGAAGGTCTGGACTATTCTTGAGATTATTATTATAAAATTTAAGATTATAAGGTGCTCTCAAATGGAAATCCTTCTTGCAAGCTTTCTTGGATATTTAACACAGTGCTAGGCACAGGGGCTTTAAGAACATAATGACTGCTGTTAGAAGAGGGTGTGAATAAAAGGACAACCTATAATACAGTTCAAAGTTAATACCTTAAAGGCTATAGATAATATAGTTATGGGAGGTAATCATTATTGTAAGAGGAATCTATCCCCAAATAATAAATTTTCTATTAATTATTTGTGGATTCTCTATAATAAAATTTTAATTCCAGGGGAGATCTTTGTGCCCCCACCCCCATACAGTGAACCGTCTCCCACCAATACTTAGACTATAGCATTGTGTTCTGAAATTGCAACATGAGGGGAAAAGTCAAGCATATGACAACTCTGTCACAATAATTAAATGCTAATAAATGAAAATTAACTATAGAGTACCTACCTTTCCTTGAAACTTTAATCCAGTAATTTAAAATGTGATATAAAGACATATGTAACATGGACTACAAGCTATTGTAGGTCTGGAACATGAGCCTTACACTATATTACACATTCTAATCCTACACTCAACTATCAGTAAACATCTTTTTTTAAAACATTACTACACAAAAGAATTCCACAAAGCATACATTCAAACGAGGCATCTAAAGATTAAAAAAATTACCCGCTGTATTTTTGTATAAAAATAATCAACATTCTCTAATATACACAAAGCCAAAAGATAAATATCTGTGACGTCTTCAGTGACATCTTTAGTCTTCTACTAGCTCAACACAATCTTTTTGAAAAAGAGCAGTGACAATGACTGAAACCCATGGACTCTTTCCCACTTTTGCCAAATATCGATGTATGTTCCCTCAATTATTAAAACATTTCCATTGTATGGTAAAGATAAGATTTTAAAAAAAGATTAAAACAAACTTTTGATGTCCAGGACTATAAAGCTCTCAGGCTCCCACAATAATTTTGTTTTTGTGTCGTAATTATAATAGATCACTAACTGTTCAGTGAAAGGTTTTGCTTTAAAATTTTCCCCCCTAAAACATGTACATACAAAATTAGATCTCATTATCCAAGAGATACAATGTGGTAAGTGCTCTGCAGGAAACATGCAAGGGTTTAGTCAGGAAAAAGGAATATGCTTTCCAGCCAGACCCAGCATGTTCGACATTAGAAAAACGCCAAAGACCAAATACAAGTATCTGCTACAAACGTCTTGTTGGCAAAAGTTGTATGTACACTGGTTCATAAGGTACAATCAGATTATGCCTTCATCAGTACAGAGGAGCAGAGAGATATGAAAGATAATTAATATGAATCAATATATTTGTAAAATTATTTGTATGCTAGTACTTATTTTATCAGCCAATTTAATGGATTTCCCCCCTTTTTCTAGTGTGCATACACTGGGAAAAATACTTCAGCAGAACACTGATGCTATCTGAAATATTTCCATTGTATAATGTATCAATTTGGGTGAAAAAGAGAAACATTTATCACTCTTACATCAGTTTCTCAACCTTGGTACCACTGACATTTTGGACCATATGACTGTTTTGGAGGGCTGTCCTGTGAATTGTAGGATATGAAGCAATATATACCTGTCCTTCCTGTGTCAGATACCAACAGCACCCCTCCCTCATCCCCCCAAGTTATGACAACCAAAATGTCCCCTGGGCAGCAAAACTGATCTCCTGGAGAACCACTGCTACCTGTACAAAAACAAAAAAGAAAACTTTCTCAGCTACACCAAATTTTTGGTCAAGTTTGGAATAGAAACCAATGCTTCTGACTTCCAGATCAGTATTATTCTTGCTAGAATGTAATCCTTTTTTATAGACAAAGCAACTTTCTAACAGACATGAGTTTTTTAAATGCACACTGATACCTCATTGCATACAATTCCAGTCACTGGACTCCTAAATTATTCCTAAATTATCTCTCATGACAACCTATGGAAAACTTATAGGGTAGAAAAATGTATAACAAAACTGAACTGAATCAAAAGAGGAGAAATGTAAATCATTAAATTACTTTTAAAAGGATTCTTTATATTAATGATAAACATTACTTTTTTAAAAAGTATCTACTATAACACGTTTCTTTGAAAAATATCATGGCCCTCTATAATAAGTCTTTTCAATGTTGTGTGTCACCTGTAAAATTAATTTCACCAATGTTGGCTAATTATGAAAATGTGTATCTGTAGAAGAAATGTCAGCTTTTGATGTGGAGATCCCAATGTGCTTGGCTATCCACCACAAACAGTGATAATATTCTAGGCCAACCTGAGCCTTTACCTTACAAGTTCAAGAGTAAAACTGCTGTTATCTCAAAGCCTCGGGATCCTGTTAAGATTCCTTCAGAGAATTGATTCGTGCACAGATCTTTAGGGCTGGGCCTAGTTTGATATTCATTGCACTCATAAGATGGTCTTCTTTTAGCAAGAGAAGGGCCTGTCCATCAATCTCCTGTGTTCTGAACTCATCTGCAATATCCTGGCAGCCTGGAATTTAATCACAGGAAGGAAGTTAGAAGTAATATACAACAATTAGATGTTATCCCTAATAGTCAGTTATGTTCTCACTGAGTCTGAGTATCTGAAATATAGGCTGAGAAGCAAATGAAATTTATTTATGGTAGTCCTGGGTTCACTCCTGAAGAAGAGAATATTTCTTGGCATTCTGAAAATAAAAATTAATACAAAATTCAGGTAAAGCAATTTACTTAGAAGCCTTGTTCTAAAAATAATATAGAAATAATTAGAGTCAAGTAAAATGTACAGATTGATTAGTCTAGATATAGCATATGTTCACAAAAAGGACAATGGTGTCACCTCAAAGCATGGCACACATATAACAAGTTTAGATTAGATAGTTATTATTATTCCTCATGAACTTATCTTTCTATAAGTACATATAGGTACAGAATAAAATATGTTCTTCCATTTCAATAACAATTTAGAAATATTTTCTTATGTACCAGACTACCACTTTCATGATCACTTGTACCTTGCTTTAACTTACAACCTTCAATTGGCAAGCACATCTAAAACATTTTTATTTTTCACTCAGGACAGAACCAATCAATCAAAACTGTAATACCACTCTATTGCAATACTGCTGAAATGTATTACACTGTTCGACTTGTGATTTCAACTTCAAATCTTAATATCATTGGGCTCTTCTCCCCTTTTGAAACAAATTCTCACTGAAACTGGGGGCTTGCTAAATAATCTCTTGTCAAATAACCAATAATTTAGCTCTCAGTCTAAACCAGGTGCTTTATCAGGTAACAAACACAATGCTAGCATCTACTTGAACCCCAAATTATTTTATTATCTACCAAACTTTGCAGTCAGGTTACTGAATAAACTTCCCCATTAAGGATGAATTAGGGAACCAAAAAAGAAGAGAATGTAAATGTAGAAGCTTCTTTAGACAGTAAAATTATAAAAATAAATTTAAAAATAAATACTAACAGCTTAAAGTCTATCTATTATATTAAAATCAGCATTCTAAGGGAAAATACAAAGAAAGATTTTAAAAATGGAAATGCTTATGTTACATCTTTCTATTGCAAATGTATCATCCTCTTGTTTATATAGATAATGGTGTCATCCCTATAACCCCTAGCACCAAGCATGAAGCACTGTAGGTGCTAAATATATATATTTTGGGATAAGTGAAGGACTAAATGAGTGAATAAAAAAACAATGAAGGAAAAAATAGAATCCGCTACCGAGGAGCTAATCTGTAAGAATGATAAAAATGCTTTTTCTGTATTTAACAGTGTGGCCATCTTTTCTTTTGCCTCTTTTGTTGGTTGTATCTTTCCCGTTTCCTATAAAGCAGCCAGCTTATCATTTCTCTAGTATTTACTTTCTCAGACTTTTAAAAATCGACATTTCTAAAGTACCCTATGCAGAATTGTTATGGTTTTGCCCATTCACAATACAAACAAAACCATGTAGTTCAGAGGGATTACTCACCACAGAAAAGCCCCTTTTCTTTTCCCAGAGGTAGCTCTCAAAACTGGGCAGACAAAACTGACTAATCTTGCATCTAGTTGTGACTTCATCCTTCTTTATATGAAAGAACTAATGTTCTTCTCTCTTCAGTCTTACTTACAAGAACACAGGAAAGAAAAGAAGAGAGAGAAAGACAGGGTAGGGCTTACTTAGATTCAGAAAACAGGAGTAATGAGAAGTAATGAGGACCATAGAGCTACATTTGGGAATAGAAACAAGGAGCGCTCCATGAGGAAAATACATAGCATGTGTTTGTTCATCTGCAGTATGAGATCCCTATTCCAGTATCTTCTTATAGGTGGACAATAAATGTATTAGCAAAATAATAAAGAAGAGAACGTTTGGGAAACAGTATGATCAAATATTAATGTGTTATCTTCGGAATTTTAGATCACAACAACTTTCTTAAGCCAACCAAACAATGGAGGGAAGGGATGGTTATACTATACATTAGTATAGAAATGAAAAAATAAAATAACTTTAAAAAGAAAAAAAAAGTAGAAGCAAATACGCTTCCAGAAAATCATTAGAGAAAACCAACAGTTTTTAAAATTCTGGATGTTCAAGCTAAAGTTCTATGAGTTTCTGACATTAGAATCTACATCTATAAAATGGCTGGCACTCTAGGGATATGTACAAAATATAATCCAACGGCAGTATCAGGATGTGCACAGACCTGAACACATGGACATGGGTACCAACTGAACTTCACAAGCATCCAGTCACTTTTCCAGAGAAACCCAATATAAACTCACCCTGCACAAAAAATGACCTCAGTACGCTGGTGAAAAAATATTACCTGCCACTCAATACTATAGAATAATCAAGTCCCAATGTTAGTATTGTGAAAACCAATAGTCATGTTTTATATGATTTCTACACTTTATATGCCTACAGAGAAACCAAATCTACTGCAGTTTCAAAGATCAATAAATACAGAATAAACTGGTCTTCACAAAAGGCAGTTCACTGTTTTAAGGAAAAGTTAAAAAAGTAACTGCAATTAACTGAAAATAAAAAGCATAATTTCTGTGGAGAACTTTTCAATGCACAAAAATTCAGAAGAAAATAGTTTTTCATTCTGCTAACAGCTCTGAGGTTTGAGTGTACTGCACACCAGCTTTATTACAGTCCCACCAGAATGGTTCACAAGATGATATTATACGAAGAGATACCTCTAGGAGTAAATATTGGTGCCCTGATAAAAGAGGGAAGCCTATCCTCAACTGGAAAGAAACAAAAGACTAAAGATCACAAAATTTACAAGCTTGCTCATTCTATGAAAAAAAACTTGAGAGTGGACTACTCAGGAAAAAAACAACAACACACACACAAAAAGAACAGGTCTGAATGAGCTGAAAGAGGCTCAAAAGGGAGTTTATAAAGACCAGAAGAACATAGAGAAATGAAGATAAAAGGTTATTCCGGTATGAAATCTACCTTAGGCTACGGGCATTATACACAGAAAAACTTTGAGGAAAGAAGATAAATGGTCACACAAATAAGCTTGTTATTTAACCTATCTAAGCAGTTTGGAAATACTCCCATTTAATCAGTAAAAGAAAAGCAGAGTTATATTAAGCAGATCCAAGCAATTCTTAATTAAAGCAGTCTCCTTTTAATGACGTGTAATGTTCTCTAAACACTGGCAATAAAAATGTCTTGGTGAACTTAGTAAGACAAGCATCTCAAGTTATAAGCAATAATTTTTTTCACTCAAATGAAGCAAGAATGAGACAAAAGAGTTAGCCTTTGTTCTAATAAAAGCAGCCAAAAGTAGCCTCATGGCAAATGGATACTAGGGAAAATTAGAAAATTATCCCTAAAAAACTGTATGAAGTGAAAGAAGACTCAGGATTATCTACTCTTTGTTTATTAGCCAACTACTTTCTTCAGGGTATGAACTTCCCCTCATCCCCAAAGGAAAATAAATATTTTTCACCAAACGAGAAATCCAGCTAACAGACAGCTCACATGCCCAACTTGGTAAACTGAGCTTACTTCTGAAGATGATGGAATAAAAGTCTAGCCTAGGACATCAGTTTGGAACTTAGGGTTAAACCTAAAGATACCTAAACTGGTCTAAAATCTAAAATTTATTTCATTAAGTATGAAAACCACAAACAGTAAAGACTCACCATCCTCTAATACATCAGCTTTAAAGCAGATCCTAAATCCACATGCCTAACACTTAACACATACCGAAGTTTTCTTAGGTGTATGCTTAAAAATCTTCCCATGGAAAATGTATCTCTCTTTAAACAATTTCTTCTTTCTTTAAAAGTGACCATATTTTGTTTTCTTTAAAAATAAACAAAAAATGTATTTAGCCTTGGATGCTTTGGCTCAGCAATCAGAGAGTCGGCACTAGACCAATGAGTCGTGGGTTCAATTCCGGTCAAGGTCATATACCTCGCTTGCGGTTCATCCCCATTGCAGAAGGCAGCCAGCCGATGTCTCTCTCTCACATCAATGTTTCTCTCTCTCTCTCTCTGTCTCCCTCCCTCCCTCTCTCCCTCCCACTCTACCTGAAGAAAAATGGAAAAATGTCCTCAGGTGAGGATTAAAAAACAAACAAACGTATTTAGTATTTCTAAAATAAGCTATTGAAAAAATAATTTAATAAAATCTCATAAAGTTCTGTATATAAATAAGGTAACATGGCTGACAAATTTTTTTAAAGCAGTAATACTGCTAAGTATACTTTCTTCACTCTCACAGCACATTAGCTGTAAGTTTGAGACAGTGGTCGCCTTCATAGAAAGACTAATTAGCAAAAATAGCTGGATTAACTTTAATAAGCCCGCAGACAACCTTAAAGGGGATGTAGTTTTCTGGAAAGCTTATGTCAAGATAAATGGTATGAGTCATAATAAAACAAAAATGGAACAAATGTTTTAAAATCTCCTTGTGTGCCCTGCCTGGCTGGTTTGACTTAGCGGTAAGAGCTTCGGCCTGCGGACCAGAAAGTCCCGGGTTCAGTTCCTGTTAAGGGCATGTACCTCGGTTGCAGTTTGTCCCAGGCCCTGGTTGGGATTGTGTGGGTGGCAACCACTCAATGTGTCTCTCTTACATTGATGTTTCTCTCTCTCTCTCTTCCTGCCTCTCTCCCTCCCGCTCTATCTCAAGATAGATGCAAAAGTGTCCTTGGGTGAGGATAAATAAAAAAAAAAATCTCCTTATGTTCCATATTTATAAGGCCAAAGTGAATAAGATTTGTTGATTTTAAAAAACATATTGTCTTACATATATAACCAGTGTGGGTCTCATCATGAGCAAAGGTGCAGATGTTTTTAATAGCCAGCCCTTTGGAGAAAGTGGATATAAAAGATAATTGTTGCATTAAAGAAAATAAGATAAAGAACATAAAGATTAAGCTGATGGAAAGAATACCAAAATGAGGGAGCAGGAAAACATAAGAAAAGTTACCCTCAATACTGGGATAGAATATCATAACTGAATGTTAGTTGTCTACTTAAAAAAATCAAATATTGGAACTATTCTTAATATCTACTTATTGCAAAGAATTAAAGAATGCAGCTTCCTTTAAAAGAACCAGCTCAATTTTTAAAAAGAAACCAAAATTTTATCATAGTCTAAAAGGTCTTGATTACTTTTCAAAAATGTAAAAAAAAAAAAAAAAAAATCAGTCTCTCTTATTTCTTTTTAAAAAGGTTAAATTAGGAAACGAGGAGGAAACAGGATAGAAAAATCGAAGAGCAGAAGGGAAGAAGTGTCTGACTCAATCTCTCTACTGACCTCTCGAGAGAAATCAGACTGAAGAGAAGAGAGCACCTTTAATATCTTCACCGGCTGAGGTGTCACAGCTGAAGCAGAACTAGTCAGTTTTTATCGACTTGGGGGTATGAGAAAATACCCAGTTGTGCTGAGGGAATAAGCAAGAGGAAACAGATCACATTTCAATAGCAAATGCCATTTAATTAATATATACACATAAGTACTTCTCTAGCCCTTTTGTGCAATAGGTGTGGATGGATCTAACGTCACTCCTGTGTGTGAATGCTCAAGAAAAATATTAAGGCCAAAGTGCCGAATTACATACCAGGCAAAGAATGGATGAAGGCCCAGACATCATCAACTGTCCATATAGAGGGCTCTGTCTGTGCAACTGGTAGCAAGTCACTGTTCTCAGGCATCTTCCTAATTCTTACATCCCGGAGCTCACGCTCTCTTTCCCGCTCACTCTGCCTGCGCAGACGTGTTGTCATAGCAGATGGCACAGGATCTTCATGAGAAGCCAAGTCTTCTTCTGCAGATGGATAAGTAATTGGAAGCTGGAAAATGTAGTACAGGTAAAATACAGCATTGCACTTTCCTTGCATTACTGAAAAGGGTATTTATTGTACATTGAAGCAAGATTTCTACAGACCTGCCTAAGGATATGTTCTCTTGCTGCCCCATCAGGGCCACTTGGACGACGGCCACGATGCCCAAGACTTTGATTATCAGGCTTACGATTCCAACGACTAAGTGCAAATTTTTTAGAACAGCTAACATTGTACCTAAGAAATTCAAGTAAGAAAAAATATTAAATGATATATGGGATAGGCTATTTAGTAGTTAATTATGACTATAAAGTGAATTTGTGAATCAGTAAATGCTATATACTTCGTTAAGAACTATAATACCTCAGGAGGTAAATCATAGTGTTCAAAGGATTTACTTATGCTAACAGTCAAAAACTGGCCTCTGTATATATCTGTATAATATAGCTTTCAATCTAATAGTGGTCAGGTATTGATATTTTCTCCTAGTAACAGCATGATAGTGGGAAACTTACTGCAAAACAGAGAGGGCAACTGATTTTTATAGCAGCAAAATAATTTCCTGGAGAGATTAATAAAAATAAGTTCATACAGTAAAGAAAGAGAAAATTTCAAATGGTTAGAAAAGGATTTTTCAAATATACAGTATTATTGAATCAAAGAGTAAAAATGTAAAGTTGAGATTTCAAAATTACACAAGGAATTCATAGCTCTCTTCAGGAAATTTAAAAATACATAATTCTTTGAAACTTATAGACTGTCTTAATATTTTCAAATGTAGACCTTTATAAGGCACAATGACAGCTTAAAAGAGTTCTATACCATTTAATGGGTTCCAATGCCCTAGAACACGGGCCAGCAAACTTTTTCTATAAAGGACCAGACAGATATCCCGGCTGATGTGATTCAGTGGTTGATTGTTGACCCATGCACCAAGAGGTCACTGGTTCAACTCCCAGTCAGGGCACATGACCAGGTTGTGGGCCAAACCCCTAGTGTGAGGCATGCAGGAGGCGGCCAATCGATGTTCTCTCTCATTGATGTTTCTATCTCTCTCTCCCTCTCCTTTTCTCTCTAAAAATCAATAAAGAAAAAAAATTTTTTTTTAAATAAAGAGCCAAATAGTAAGTATTTTAGGCCCTATGGGCCATGCAAGTCTCTGTCACAACTAGTCAACTCTGCTATTGTAACATGAAAGCAGCCACAGACAATAATAAATGAGCATGACTGTGTTCTAATAAACCTTTATTTAGTAACACTAAAATCTGAATTTCCCATAATTTTTTTTTTTTTTAATTTTTATTTATTTTTTTGTTACAGATGTTTCTCCTTTTTCACCCATTGGCACCCCTCTCCCCACCCCACACCCGCCCTGTCCCCTGCTTTGTTGTCCATGTCTATTGGTTATGTATACATGCATATAAGTTCTGTGGTTTATCTCTTCCCCCACCCCTACCCCCTCTTCTGACGGATGTCAGTCTATGCCCTACTTCCATGTTTCTGGGTCTACCGTATTCCTCAGACTGTTATGTTCATTATATTCCATATATAAGTGAGATCATGTGGTATTTGTCTTTTTCTGCTTGGCTTATTTCACTTAGGATAATACTTTCCAGGTCCCTCCATGTCGTCTCAAAGGATAAGAGATCTTTCTTTCTTACAGCTGCATAGTACTCCATTGTGTATATGTACCACTGCTTTTTTATCCATTCTTCTACTGATGGACGCTTGGGCTGTTTCCAGATCTTAGCTATTATAAATAGTGCTGCTATAAACATGGGGGTACACATATTCTTTCTGATTGGTGTTTCAGGCTTCTTAGGGTATACTCCTAGAAGCGGGATCACTGGGTCAAATGGAAGTTCAATTTTTAATTTTTTGAGGTAACACCATATTGTTTTCCATAGTGGCTGCACCAGTCTGCATTCCCACCAGCAGTGTATTAGAGACCCCTTTTCTCCACACCCTCGCCAACACTTGCTGTTTGATGATTTGTTGATGGCGGCCATTCTGACAGGTGTGAGGTGATACCTCATTGTTGTTTTAATTTGCATCTCTCTGATGATTAGTGATGTTGAGCATTTCTTCATATGTCTCTTGGCCATTTGTATGTCCTATTTGGAGAGGTGTCTATTCAGCTCCTATGCCCATTTTTTAATTGGGTTCTTTGTCTTCCTTTTGTTGAGTTGTATGAGCACTCTATATATATTGGAAATTAACCCCTTATCTGAATTTCCCATAATTTTCATGTGCCACAAAAGATTATTCTTATGATTTTTTTCAACTACCCCCAAATTTTAAAACCATCCTTAGCTCAGGGGCCATACAAATATAGACAAATATAGACAAATATAGACCACGGGAATGACTCGGCCTAGGCACAGTTTGCCTGTCCCTAGAAAGAAGAGTGAAAAGAAATCTACAAAGCAAATTTCTGAAAAGCTACAGAAAGGCTAAGAAATATACATGTAGTTCCTCTTTTCTTACACGTCTAAAACTGCCATTGTAATTTCGTATTTTCAAAACTCTTTGTTCTAAGATTTTTCAGAAAATGACAAGACTAAATCCCAAATTAACTTTGCTACTGATAATGTTCTAGGACCAATAAACAGATATCAAAATGAATTTCCTCACATACGTCTTATGAAACTATCAGAAGGTGAAAATAACAGCACTACAAGAATGAATAGACTCCCCGCCCAAAAAAATGTTTTTAAAAAAGTATCCTGATGGCCACCTCATTTTACCCTAAAACAATTTAACAAGCCTCTGCTGTGTCATTATGCTCTTCAATGGATTCAGCTCTGTCGGTTTCTGATTTCCATTCTTACCAATTGACAAAACTTCTTTCCCCACTGATTAAAGATCAGAAAAAAGAGACTAACTTCCATTTGTTATTTAGTCCCTAAATATTTAGATCTCCAAGATAGTCATGTAAAACAGCAGCAGTTCCTCACTGAACTGATTTATTCTCTCCCCTTTGTTGTCTCATCTGCACTTCCCTAGGTGAGGGCCCTTAATCTCCTAAAGAGGTTCACCTAAAGCTATAATAATGTCCAACTCAGCAATCATCTCTGGGAGAAGAGTGATGGTAGTGTTAGAAGTCCTGAAATATTTCTAAAATGTCAAGAAATTTAAAATATTCTGTAAGGCAGTTTTTCCCTCGGAGTTTTTAATTATTCAGAACCATAGAGCCACTATTCTTTCTTGTGGTGGTATACATAAACTGGAAAACTCCCAAGTTAAATGGGAGCTACATAATTTTATTAGGATTATCAATAACAAAATAATATCTGAATAACAGATTGGCAATTGAGAAACCAATGAACACATTTTGGGAGTAAAATACTTCTATTACTTATTTAATAGTACAATACTTATACTAAGTTTTACTAAGTATATTTTAGTGCCACCATACTAAATAATATGTTCAAGCAAGAAATTCCCCAGATACATAAAATTAAGGTCATCAACTCTTTTTGGAACAGAGAACAAATTTCAAAGTAATTGACCTGTGCATACATTTCACTTTTAGTGGTAAATACCAATATTAGGATGTATTACATTGACTGTAAACAAAAAGTCGGCCAGAAATTTCTCCAGCAAAATAGATTTATTCAAGAACAAGGAATTGCAACCCGATACATGTAACCATGGTGAGCGACACTTCTTCCCTTCTACTCTTTTATTTTTCTATTTTATTTCATCAATGAAGGAGAGGAAATTCTTATATATAGGGGAAAAGTAAGTTGGGAAGGTTTATTAGTTTCCCCATTGTGCCTTGTGATCAACATAGGGCACGAGAGCTCCCCCTTCTGGCCTCTCTACTTCACGTTAAATAAGGTTCCTGTTAATGAATTTTTACCATTATCAAAATCAAAGGGTTGTTTTTTTTTTAATGTAAACTAAACTTGAGGCAAGATCAATAAAGATACTAAACATTTCTTTTGTTATTAATACTATTTACCTATAAACTATTACTGCAAAAACAGATTTAGAAAAGATATTTTGCTGATAATGTAACAACATGAAGAACATGCTAGAAGCTCTTATTTAGAAACCTAAAGTTAATAGGATACAGTTAAAACAAAAGAAAATATTTTAAAACAAAACAAAGTAATTCCAGGTATTTCAATACTGATTTAAAAAATCAGGTGCTATCCCGGCCAGTGTGGCACAGTGGTTGAGTGTCAACCCATGCACCAAGATGTCGCCAGTTCGATTCCCAGTCAAGGCACATGCCCAGGTTATGGGCCTGATCCCCAGTGGGGGGCATGCAGGAGGCAGCCAGTCGATGTTCTCTCTCATCACTGTTTCCATCTCTCTCTCCCTTTCCCTTCCTCTCTCTAAAATCAATAAAGAAAAAAAAATCAGGTGATAAAACAAAAACTGTTTTGACACCTTAAGGACTAAGTAGTCTACTCACAGGAGGGATTCTCCTGAGCATATGTTCTTACCACCAAGAGATTGCTACTTCAACATTAGATTATGCTGAAAAACTGTGTTATGAATGTGTGATTTTCAAAGAGCAAAATGTAATACCTAAATACCAAAGAAGTTCCACATAATGTCTATTTGATATTATTCCTCTGTATTGTAATATCTAGTTTTGACTACTGGTAAACTCAACAAGTTTTTAGTTTTTGTTAACAGTGGTTGTTGGTTTGTGCTTTAGTAAATTCAAAATAACAGAAATACCTTTTGGCACATGACATAGTGCAGAATCGTTTTGACCGCAGAAATTCATTAGCATATCCCATCTTCCCACAGAATTCACACTTGAGCAACTCGCTGTCCATTTCTTCTAATGTCTCTAAAAAAGAAGGAAACAGAGAAAAATTATAAAAACTTAATTGTGCAAATTTTCTTTTAGCTTCTATTTTGGATGCTGCTAGTTCATACTTTCCAGGAATCTTAAAGGAATAATCTTTGAATTTTTCAATCCACAGCCGCTTTGGCAGGGCAAAGGCTCTAAAACCAACCACCTCCATAAATTCCCTCTTTGTCCTGCATAAAATGTTATGGACTTTTCTCTATATACATAAACAATACATTTTATAAGTTCATTTTACTAAGGAATCCGACATGTTTAAAGTGTGTAAATAACTTTATTAAGCCCTATAAGAAAAATGAAGATGAATGAGACAAAGTCACTACCCTGCAGAGGCGGGAACACGTTCAAAAAGCATCTTGTGGGATATGAATTTTGGTGCATTGTGCTATGGAAATATATAGCACAGAATACGTAGTCCTAACTGGAGGGAATAAGGATGACTTCAAGAAGAAGTTAAAATTTTGATATGTCTGATTTTAGAGGATTATATGAAATAATGAGCATTCTCAAAGATCCACAGTGTGTATATATATGTATGTGTATGTATATATAGATATAAATATGTATATATCTAATTATTAAACACTCTATACACTAAACTCCATTTTAGTTATATCATATTAAAACAAAAATAACTTAATCTTTAAAATCAGAAATAGTTTTGTAACCTCTGACCTCTGCTTCTTTTTGTGAGGATGCTCTCTATTAAGTTAGAATGTCCTTCCTCCACCTCTATATCCCTAACTTTCTTTGAGCCATACAACTAAGTCCTAAAATATGCAGCAGTAGTCACCTGTAAGCAAGCAAATTAATCTTCATGACATTTAGTTTTCTCACCTATAAAATGGAGTCTATAATACCTTTCCCAAAGAAATGCAGTGAAGACTACATGAGTCCCAGCAGGTATTAGGTATAGATAAGTGAGAGTTCCACATCTATTTTCCACAGAAGAACTAAGAGTACCAAGAACTATAAGTGCTTAGGAAACACTTACATAAAAACTTAAATTCTAAATCACCATATTTTTCCATTTTCTTGCATCCTCATAATTACCATACTAAGTCAGCACTCCACTAACTAAAGCTTATGGCTGTGAGCTCCATATTACTTTGTTCTTCATTAACCAAGACTTGTTAAGATGAAGAGAAAGACTGAAATGTAGACCTGGATAAACATGTACTCCTAAGTTTAAGCACTTACATTATCCTAGTGTTGGAGAAACAAATGGCAAAGTGATAAATCAAGTGAAGACAGCAAGAACTACTATAAAACATACCATGAACAATATTTGAAGTTCCAAGAGACATCCAAATACACTGTTATGACTGGCAAGTGATCATTTTAAGAAAATTCTCAAGACTACCTTTGTAAGAAAAAGTAATTTATTTAGTAACAATATGGAAGAAATAGTCTCAAAACAAGTAAAATAAAAATTGCTTCTTCAATGACCTAGAGATGGCTTTTACAAAGCCGTAGCCCAACAATACTTTACTGAGACCTTTTGTCCTAACTACCAGGGGTATTGTTTTTACTGTCATGCTTGTAATCTGATCTGACCTTGAAAAGCCTGTACTGGAGACAAAACCTCTCACCCAACCACCACTGCCACCAAGCCAGCCCCAAAGACTCCATTTGTTCCATTTCCAGACAATACTGAAAGCTTTGTTTTTTTCTTTGTTTGTTTTTTTTTTTATCCTCACCCAAGGACATTTTTCCATTTTTTGTACAGATAGAGTGGGAGGGAGAGAGAGGAAGAGTGAGAGAGAGGGAAACATCGATGTGAAAGGGACACATCGAGTGGCTGCCACCCACACGACCAACCAGGGCCGGGGACATACTGCAACCGAGGTACATGCCCTTAGCGGGAACTGAACCCAGGTCTCTCCAGACCGCAGGCGGATGCTCCAACGGCTGAGCCAAACCGGCCAGGGCTGAAAGCTTTGTTTTAACAGTTCTTATTAATCAAAGAACAATATGCACTATTAATAATAGAATACTTTAGCCCTGGCAGTTTGGCTCAGCGGTTGGAGCACTGGCCTGCAGTCTGGAGAGACCCGGGTTCAGTTCCCGCTAAGGGCGCGTGCCTCAGTTGCAGTTTGTCCCCGGCCCTGATTGGGTCGTGTGGATGGCGACCACTTGATGTGTCCCTTTCACGTCGGTGTTTCTCTCTCTCTCTCTTTCTCTCTCTCTCTCTCTCTCTCCCCCTCCCACTCTATCTGAACAAAATATATTAAAAAAAAATGTCCTTGGGTGAGGATAAAAATATAATAATAATAGAATACTTTATAAAGGAGAAGGAAATGTTTTTGCTGATGAGGGGTTAACAACCTAACAAAAATAGAACATTAGTTTTACTTCTCATAAAGAGAACAGATTCTATGCCCAAGACAGCTGGTAATTCTCTAATATTCATTCATTACTTTTCCCATACTAACAAAATTCTAATTTTTAGCTAGGAATGTGACCACTGAGAATAAAAACTACAGTTTCTGCCCCAAGTGTGGCCAATTTCTGACCAATGACATTTGAATGGAAATATTTGCAAACTCCCTTTCCCCCATCTCACTGATTAGAATGTGACCATAAAGATTAACTATCTTGGAAATGAGAATAACATTCTAGGGATGGCAGAGCCATAAGACATTGGGAGGTTGGTGCCCAACATCATGGAGCCCTAGACTGCTTACCTTTTGGCTATGTCAGAGAAAATTACACTTCTATTTTATTTATCAAATATTTTTCTGGAGTGGCTGAACATACAGCTTAACTAATAGAGGTCTTCAATTTTGTATAAGAATGGTTACTTTTTAATTTTCCTGAGACCACTTGAGGATCAGCAGCAAAAGGAGAGGGAATGAGACAGAAACCATGATCAGTGTCATGATTTACCAGGGAAGACAAAAATATTTTGGTAGAGGACTTTCAGTCAGGATGGCAGCGTAGGTAAACACTGTATTGCCTCCTTCCACAACCACATCAAAATTACAACTAAACTACAGCACAACCATCAATCAGAACCACCTGACACAGAGCTGAGTGGAAGTCCTACAACTATGAAATTAAAGCAGCCACCACCACAAGACTGGTAGGAGGGGTGGAAGCGGATGGGTTGGTCCCACACCATAGTGTGACAGATAAAAATTAGGAGGGATATCTTGGCTGGGAAAGTCCTCCCTGAGGAGTGAGGGGTCCCTGTCCCACACCAGGCACCCAGCTCAGGGTCCCAGTGCCAGGAAGAGAATTCCCATCACTTCTGGCTGGAAAAACCAGCGGGAACTAAGGCTGAGGAAGGAAGGCTGAGGTGGCTGGAGCCCCAGGCAGCTCCTCTTAAAGGGCCCGCGCATAAGCACGGACGTACTTGGACTCGCACCCTCCAGGCTCCAGCATGGGGGAGGCAGCTTGAAAGACACCAGAGACATACAGGAAAGAACAGAGCTGTTTGGCATTGGAGAAAGGGCTGGAGAAGCGGCTTTCTCCTGGACAGATGTACTATCAGAGGCCTTTGTTCCTTTGGTGAGCCCTTTCCTAGGGTGGCAGACAGCCGCCATATCTGGGACTCTAGCAACCTGGCTCACACTTTTGTCCTGCCCTGGTGATTGCCTGAGCTCCTGCTCCACCCAACTTTCAGGCCCACCTAAGCTGTTGCCAGTTGCTTTACCATAGGATTGGCCTGTCTTGGATCCTGCTTCAGGTTATCTTCAATTCTTTCAAAGAAGCAGCATCTGGTCTCAGCTAGCCCCATACCTCTCATTAAGTAATACATAGAAACAAACACAGGGAGGCAGCGAAAATGAGGAGACAAAGAAACAGGTTCCAAGTGAAATAACAGAACAAAAGTCAGGAAAAGAACTAAGCGAAATGGAGATAAGCAATCTAACAGATGCAGAGTTCAAAACACTGCTTATAAGGATGCTCAATGGACTTAGTGAGAACCTCAATGAACTTGGGGAGGGCCTCAAGAGCATAAAAAAGGACCAGTCAGAAATGAAGGATGCACAGTCAGAAATGAAGGAGGCGCTAACTGAAACAAAGAATAATTTACACAGATTCAATAAGGTAAAGCCAAGAAGCAAACCATCGATTTCGAATATAAGGAAGCAAAAAACACCCAATCAGAACAGCAAAAAGAGAAAAGAATCCAAAAAAAAAATGAGGATAGTGTAAGGAGCCTCTGGGACAACTTCAAGCGTGCCAACATCCGCGTCTTGGGGGTGCCAGAAGAAGAAGAGAGAGAACAAGAAATCGAAAACCTCTTTGAAACAATAATAGCAGAAAATTTCCCTAACTTGGTGAAGGAGACAGACATACAGGTCTAGGAAGCACATAGAATCCCAAACAAAATGAACCCCAAGAGGCCCACACCAAAACACATCATCATCAAAATGCAAAAGATTCAAGACAAAGAGAGAATCTTAAAAGCAGCAAGAGAAAGGCAGTTAGTTACCTACAAGGGAGTTCCCATAAGGCTGTCAGCTGATTTCTCAAAAGAAACTTTGCAGGCCAGAGGGGAGAGTCAAGAAATATTCAGAGTGATGAAAAGCAAGAACCTACAACCAAGATTACTCAAATAAATGCAAAGCTGTCATTTAGAATCGATGGCCATATAAAGACTTTCCCAGACAAGAAAAAGCTAAAGGAGTTCATCATCATCAAACCATTATTATATGAAATGTTGAAGGGTCTTCTTGAAGAAAACGATAAAAAAAAACAACAAACAAAATGGCAATGAATACACATATATCGACAATTGAATCTACAAACAAAATGAACAAGCAGAACAGAAGCGTTCTCATAGACACAGAGAACATTTTGTTGGTTGCCAGATGGGAGGGGGGTTGGGGGAATGGGTGAAAAGGTGAAGGGATTAAGAAGTACAAATTGGTTGTTAGACTGACAAACCTCAAAGGGAAGGGGGGTGGGGTGTGGAAAGGGATAAATCAAAGAACTTATATCCAATATGCATAACCAATGGACACAGACAACAGTGGGAAAGGCAGGAGGGTGGTGGGAGTGGGGAGGAGGGGGTCAATGGGGGGAAAATGAGGAACATCTATAATACATTCAACAATAAAGATAAAAAATTAAAAAAAAAAAAAAAGAAGAATCCTCACATTAGGGATTTTTTAAATAGTGAATCAAACTGTATATACTACTAAAACCAAAGCTACTAAATAAGTGATCTCACCACTTCACCCTATAGTGCTTCTCATAAATATTGAGGTACACAGTAATAGAAACACTTTATAAAATTACCTTGGTAAATTAAATTATAAAGTATTTAAAACTTTGGCACATTTTATGTAAAAATATGTCCAATATTAAATAATCACTTTTCTATTGACTATATTTACATGTTAAATATATTCAATAGACTTTAAGGTGTACAACATGTTAATCTGATATATGTATATATTATGATTGCCGCTGGAACAGTATTTACCACCTCTATCACATTACATAATTATGCTTTCTCTTTTTTGTTGTTGTTAATCCTCACTTGAGCATATTTTTCCATTGATTTTTAGAGTGGAAGGGAGAAAGGGGTAGGGGAAGAGAGAGAAAGAGAGAGAAACACATCGACTGGTTGCCTCCCGCTTGACCCTTAGCAGGGAATCATCAAACCTGCAACCCAGGTACATGCCCTTGACCAGAAATAGAAACCAAGATGCTTTGGTCCGTGGGCTGACACTCTTAAGTGCTGAGCCAAACCAACCAGGGCATTATGCTTTCTTTTTTTTAATGATTTTTTTTTTATTGATTTTTTTTTTAATCCTTACTCAAGGACATTTTTTTGCATTTATCTTCAGATACAGCAGGAGGGAGAGAGGGAGGAAGAGACAGAGAAACATCGATGTGAGAGAGAAATGTGGATCAACTGCTTCCTGCACAGCCCCTACTGGGATGGACCCAAAACCCAGGCATGTGTCCTAACTAGAAATCAAACTGGGACCTCTCAGTGCATGGGACGATGCTCAATCCACTGAGCCACACTTCCAGGCAGCATTATGCTTTTTAGTTATGATAATTAAGTTTTACTCTCTTAGCAAGTTTGATGATTGTAACACAATATTGTTGTCCATATTTATTATACTGTGCATTACATCTCTATGGCTTATTTACTACTTGTTGCATAGATTATTCATCTTTACTGATTTACTACCCAACTGATATCAAACATCAGAATATAGAAAGTCTAAAACCAAACAACTCAGAAGCTCTAAGTTTTTAAGCAAACTCAATAAAAAAAGTCATTTAAGTTGGCTTAGAAAAAAATACAGAAAATTGGTTGTTTTGATGCTAAAATTTTTAATTACTGTCATGTATAGTGGAATTTTTCCCACCCACATTCTTTCAAAAGTCAAACTGACATTATGCAAATTAACACCAATCTTGTTATTTTTATTTTTGGGCCATTATGAGCCTGGTTAGCGTTCTAATTATATTAGTCAAATAATGCATTACATGAGAATAAAAGTATATACTTCCAAGTAAAATTCTGTGGAATAAAAATCCATGTCCTGTTCCTAACAGTAAAAGTCAAAGTTAATTTAAAGGGTATCTTAGGTAAAATTTACAAACCTTCAGCAATCATGTCTTCCATCTCTGTGTCAGATGAATTATCCGCATGCTTTGTATTATTCTGTAGCTCTGGCTGAACACACACAGAATTTATCACCTGATTATCCAAAAGAGGTCTTTTTTTCACAGGCTGTTCTATTAGCAAAGATGAACGACTCACCTTTAAAAGAGAGAGAGAATAAAATGAAATAAGCTTTTTAAATACTTTTAGAAATAAGTTGATTAAAAACCTCTTGAAAAGAATGGTATCTGTGATCATTGCTTGTTCAATTGATCAGATACAGTCATTAAGTGCTTTATTCCTTGAGAAAAAGTTAGGCTATCTGGACATAAACACTTTATTATACTTCATGTCATCAGCAATATGGAACCTAGCAGCCTAGTTTCTTTAAAAATCAGTAATAAATTTTATTTTCCAGTTTCTTTAATTTTTTTCTGCAACTTTTAAGATTTATTTTTCATGTACAAAGTGTTTTATTTGTAGGGTTATTTCCTTAGGATAGATCATTATTATGAGTATTATATAGATAAGGGCAAAAAATGGGCATAGGACATGTACAGACATTTCTCCAAAGAAGACATATAGATGGCCATCAGTTATATGAAAATATGGTCAATATCACTAATCATCAGGGAAATGCAAATCAGAACCACAATGAAATAACACCTCACACTAGGCAGAATGGCTATTATCAAAAAGTCGCTATTATAAAAAAGTCAACAAATAATAAGTGTTGGCAAGGATATAGAGAAAAGGGAACTTTTGCACTGTTGGTGGGTGTGTAGATTGCTGTGGCTACTATGAAAAACAGTATAGAGCATGGCTGGTGTGGCTCAGTGGCTGAGTATCGACCCATGCACCAAGAGGTCACTGGTTTGATTCCCGGTCAGGGTACATGCCCAGGTTGTGGGCCCGATCCCCAGTGGGGGGTATGCAGGAGGCAGCCAATCGATGTTCTCTCTCATTGATGTTTCTATCTCTCTCTCCTTCACCCTTCCTCTCTCTCTAAATAAAGAAAAAGAAAAAAAAAAAGAAACAGTACAGAGATTCTTCAAAAAACTACAAATGGAACTACCTTATGATCCAGCAATTCCACTACTAGGTATATATCCAAAGAAATCAAAAACACTGATTCAAAAAGATATATGCACCCCTATCTTCACTGTAGCAAAATTTACAGTAGCCAAGATATGAAAGCAACCTAAGTGTCCAACCACAGACAAATAAACAAGTGGTACATATGTGTGATGGAATATTACTCAGCCATGAAAAAGAATGAAATCTTGACATTTGTGACAACATGATGGACCTAGAGGGTATTATGCTAAATGAAATAGGTCCCACAGAAAAAGACAAAGACATATTATTTATATGTGGAATCTAAATAAACAAAACAAAAAAACAGACTCACAGAAACATCAAACTGATGGTTGTCAGAGGGTAGAGGGTGGGAGATGGGTGGAAAGGTGAAGGTGAATATAATCAATAATATTATGGTAATGTCTCACAGTGACAGATAATTACTAGACTTTGTGTGGTGATCACATCATAAGGTATATAAATGTCAAATCACTAAATTGTACACCTGAAACTAATATAATATTGTATACCAGTTATACTTAAATGTAAATAAATAGAGATAAGAAAACTAATGTTCAAAATGTTGAGGTGATTTCTTTACAAAAGCAAAAACAGAACTAGAACTTATGCCTCCTGGTTCTTAGTTCAACAACCAAATCCACTATAATCGTGAAAAGAAATGGGAAAATCCGCAAACATTAACATTAACAACAAAAAATTCACTTACATTCAGTATATTTAGTTAAGTCATGAATTCAGTATATTTAGTTAAGTCATGAATAATACTTATTTTAGAAATGTTTTCAGCAAAAACAGTCCAGATAAAAAATATTTAGTGATTTGTTAGTGAACCCTCAGCTAATCTGAAAAAATAGAACCTCTTATTCTAATTAAGAATGCTGGTTAATTCTTCAATATCTGCCACAGTTGGTCAACAATAGCTTACTGAAGATGTCTACATTTAACTTTGGAGAATCATCATTAATAAACTTTTAAATTGTGTTCATTTCAGTTAGTATTGTCTAATATGCCTCAAGTAAAATTTATAAAACTTATTGCTGTAAAAACTATTAATATTCAGTGCTGCTAAGGATATATACTTTGGGTGTATTAATAAATTTAAATAATCTTTCCAGAAAATAATTTAGTAATATATAGAGAATCTTACAAATATATATATAATGTGATCCAATACCAGTACTTCTATGGAATTAATGATAAAGAAATTATTTAAAATGTGAATGATTTATATACAAATATATTATTTTCAAGATTATTTGAATAGTGAAAAAATGGAAACCTAAATGTCCAACAATGGAAGGATGACATAAATTATAGTTGTACATAAAGTAGAATATACTGTAACGCTTCAAAATGTTTCCAAAGTACTATTAATCATAGGAGAAAATAAATGCTCAAGATATACTAAGTGAAAGAAGCAAAACTATATATAATAATAATCTTAATCATATGCAAATGTATATATAAATATATATCTTGTGGTATTGGTGTGCATTTTTCTGTATATTTCCCCAATATTCCTTTTTTTGTAATCTTAAAAAAAAATGTTGTAACTGTCACTAGTAATATTAATAATAGCTATGCCTATTAAATGCCAGGTACAACAAAGAACAATTTATGCATATTTAATCCTTACAACAACCCTAGGAGCAAAGTATCATCTCTATTTGCCAGATGAGTAAAATGAAGATCAAAAAGACTGAGTGACTTCCCACGGTCAGTATTCTGCAGAGTCAGGATCCATACACTGAGGAGTAGAGAGAAGTAACTGTTCCTCTACTCAGTAAGTCAGGACTCTTATAGGAGATCCATGTTTAATATATCCATAGCAAATTGAAAACAAAGCAATTAATTAGGCAACCAACTATCACAATGTAAGATCTTCGCTACCCATAAATCTAAAAAATCAGGTGATTCAAAGACCTTCAAAATAAACTATTTTGTTTTCTTTAATTTTGGCCCTTCATTTTAAATTTTTTTCTAAGAAAAAATGTTCATCTCTAGAAAATAGCATATGAAGTATATACAGCTAGTCTCAAATTGTAAGACTTTTAGTAATAGATACTTTGAGGTGAACATTCTAAAGAATTTTTAAAAATCTGAAGACTGAGATTTAAGAATAATGAGAACACCTGTTTGCTAATTGTAAATCATCAACTGGGTAACTTCAGAAAGATTAGGTCATTGGGAAGTTATTTTCTGCACTCAAATTAAAATTCACAAAGTATCACATTATATAAGAAACACAATTTTTTAAAAATACACTTTCGGTATCATTTCAGTCCCCTTAAAAAGAAAAAACAGGAAAGTGTATTTGAATAAACTTCCAACTACCGTTCTATAAAAATTATAAAACTGGTATCTCTTTATATACAAGTTTCCTCCTTAGTTTATACATCTAAATAGCTAGCATAAAATTCTAGAAATATATTTGGAATATATACATGACATACAGAGAAATAAATTCTAGATAAAAGTGACAAATTTTTTAATATAAAATTATAAGTTTTTTATTAGAAAATAATAGACTAAATTTTAAAATAATGTTACACAAATTATTTTAAAAATAAAAATTTGCTTGTTACTTACAGGAAATGGCTCCAATCCCTCCTGAATCACAAAGCCTTCAATAACATGGGTCAAGATCTGTGGTTTAACAATGGCCTGTGGAGGTTTGTTTTCTATATTGGGAATGCTACTGGGTATAGATGTACTATTACTTCTTGTGGTAGCAGCCGGAAGTAAGAGTGGAGGAGGAGGAACAGAAACATGTGAAGGATCTGAAGGAGATTTAATTACTGAAGCACTGACTGATGCCACAGCAGGTAATTCCACTTGCTCTGAAAAGAAATCATTCTTTTAATGTTTAGCATTTTGCCCAGGCTAATATGAAAGACAATTTAAAGATAATCATGAATAACAATAATAGCTAATATCTGGTGCTTAAAAAAACCATTCTAAAAACTTTATATTTATTATCTCATTTAATCTGCACAACACCTTATGAGACAGAAACTACTATTACCCCCAGTTTACAGAAGAAGGGGGTAACTTGCTCAGTTATCATTCCAACTATGGTTAAAAAGAACTTACCTAGCCCTGTCCGGTTTGGCTCAGTGGTTAGAGCATCAGCCTTCAGACTAAAGGGTCTCGGGTTCGATTCCTGGTTAAGGGCATGCACTTGGGTTGCAGGTTCGATCCCGGCCCTGGTCAGGGTCATGCAGGAGGCAGCCAATCGATGTATGTGTGTGTGTGTCTCTCTCTCTCTCTACCTCCCTCCCTTCCATTCTATCTAAAAAAAAAAAGCAGTGAAAAAATATCCAATATCCTCTAATGAAGATTAACAACAACAAAAAAAAAACAACTGACCCATAAGACATGAATGTTTTTGAATGTCAAATTAAGAATAATTACTGAATAATTACAAAATCCCTCTATTTTGCAGGTTAGTTTATTTCATGATTTGATGAAAGTTATCCTAAATATCAGCCTTGCTTGCCCCGCCCCCCATACTATAATAGAATAATATGTATGAAGTAAATTATAGGAGGATTCAAATTGTTGCTGTTGCTGTTTCAAAATGTTAAGCTACATAGATATTAAATTCCCTATGTTACTGTTAATATATTCCAAATGGTAGGAGGGAATAAAAGTTCTTTGAAAGTATGCTTAAATAAAAAAGGATCATGCAATCCATAAAATAAGTAAAGATTTTAATCAACTACACAAATCACATCATCTTCATGTCAAGCAGTAAGGCTAATCCAAACCCATGCACAAATGTTCTGTGGTTTTTTTTTGTGTGTTTTTTTTTTAAACTCTTCAGTGGCACTGTATATGACAATTTGGGGAACACTGTATTACCAAGTAACTGCAAAATGGGCTGGATCACTGCAATTCCTCCCTTTCGAACTCTTGAAAACCATTAACAACATAGCTCTGCCATCCATTCGACAGCACTGAAACTTGACTGCCTGTGTTAAAGTGGAAAGATGGAACCAGCTGATAGCTAAGAATATCAGTGAGTATAGATATCTGAGAAAAATAAAAAAAGAGCAGAGATTTATAAAAACTGAATCCTAGATAAAAAACAAGTCCCTCTATTTTGCAGGTTAGTTTATTTCATGATTTGATGAAAGTTATCCTAAATATCAGCCTTGCTTGCCCCGCCCCCCATACTATAATAGAATAATATGTATGAAGTAAATTATAGGAGGATTCAAAATTCTACATTGTACTTAGACAATTTAGCCAGAGGGATATGCTTGACAGGATCTCAGACTATATTCCTTGCCTCACGTGGGAAGATATTATTGTGCTCCAATATTTCAAAATTTTTACAATTTCCTTTGAGTACCATTAGTGATGCTTATCAGTCACAATGCAAGGTTATTATCCAATTACTGGAAATGTCTATTTCTGCCTTTAAACCAAAATTCCAGAAAATCTGCAGCATCAATTCATTTTCAGTGTACAGAAAATACAAAAATTTCATACTAGAGTTAGATTTTCTTACATCTATCTTTTGAAGTATTGCTTTGAATATACAAAAGCAATAATATTAAACTTGTCTTAAATATTTTGTATAATTTTACTGACTAAACGTTTTCTCTTTTTTAGGAGGGGGAGAAATTGGAAGAAAATTTATTTTCCTTCTATGCTTTCCAGAGATTCAAATCTGTAGTAAGGGAATAAAAACTGGAGAGAATGGAAGGATGAGATGTAGCATGTTGAAGAAAAGAGAGGGCAAGGGTTACTGTGGCAGCAAAGTCAATGCCCCTACAATTTGTTTCCATGCCTGTTACAGTGGTTCTTCATACCTGAAATGATCATGAGGACCAAGAGATATGCAATGGAACAGAATAATTGCAATGAAACCTGAACCAACATTAGTATTATCGGGATCAGGGGTCAACAAACTTTCTATAAAGGACAGTATGGTCTTTGTAACTACTCATCTTTGCTGCAATAACACAAAAATAGCCATAGATAATATTTGTATTGCAGACAACTGTATTAAAGAACAATGAAACAGCCCTGTACAATTTGGCTCAGCAGTTAGAGCGTTGGCCTGCGGACCAAAGAGTCATGGGTTCGATTCACGTACCTCAGTTGCGTTTCGGTCCAGGCCCTGGTTAGGGTCCTGCAGGAGGCAACCAATCGATGTGTCTCTCACATTGATGTTTCTTCCTCTCTTTCTCTCTCTTTCTCTCTCTCTCTCTCTCCCTCCCTCCCTCCCTCCCTCCCTCCTTCTCTCCCTCCCACTCTGTCTAAAGATAAACAGAAAAATATACTTGGGTGAGGATTAAAAAAAAATTTATATTTCACATAATTTTCACATGACATGAAATATTACTCGTTTTGATTTTTTTCCAATCATTTAAAAAATTTTAAACCATCCTTACCTCAAGGGCCATATAAAAACAGGCAGCAGGAAAGATTTAAAGCATGAGCTAGTTTGTCAACCCCTGACCTAAATAAAATATTCATAAATTTAAAAAACAACAACACTAACACAAAATGTATAATTTTTAGAATCAAGACACTGGGCAACAGCCCTGGTCGGTTTTGCTCAATGGTTAGAGCATTGGCCCATGGACCAATGAGTAGCGGGTTCAATTCCAGCCAAGGGCACATACTTCAGTTGCGATTCGTCCCCAGCCCTGGATGGGGTAGTGCAGGAGGCAACCACTCAATGTGTCCCTTTCATACGAGATATGTCTCTCTCTCTCTCTCTCTCTCTTTCTCTCTCTCCTTCCCACTCTATCTGAACAAAAATGGAAAAATGTCCTCGGGTGAGGATAAAAAAGAAAGACACTGGGCAATAGATCATACTAATATTTTAGTAAAATAACTAGGATTCAGATTCACTTTGATATTGTGAGAAGGAGCATACAAAAGATTTATTTGAACTTAAAAGTAGCACTGAAGTAGTGAATAAGAATTGGAATGATCAAGCTCAAAAATTTTTTAATCCATTTCTAGTAAGAATTAGTGAGGCTTAATTTAAGTACTATATGGGAAAGAACACTTTTAAAAGCATTTATTCAGCCTAGATCACAAGCAATTATGAGAAATGCCAGATACGACTTAGAATGCTTTCTGATTTAGGGAAGGCATAATTGATATCTTTTTTTCTTTATTTATTTTAGAGAGAGAGGAAGGGAGAAGGAGAGAGAGACAGAGAACATCGACTGGTCGCCTCCTGCATGTCCCCCACTGGGGATCGGGCCCACAACCTGGGCATGTGTCCTATCCAGGAATTGAACTGGTGACCTCTTGGTACATGGCTTGATGCTCAACCACTGAGCCACACCGGCTGGGCATAATTGATATCTTTTGATAGAACTTTGATTTATTCTAGTTTTTAAGCTAGAAATAGCTTGATACATGAGTCTGAATGATCATATGAAACATATCTGTACAAACCAATAAAAATTAGGAAGTTACAATATGTTTTTCATTTGGGTAGTTCCTCATCAATTGCTCTCATTGTTCTTCAAAAAATCTTTAATTCTAATTTGTTTTACAGCAATTAATTATATAACAAACTAGTTTAATATCATCTGTAGTGAAAAAAAAAAAACAACTTTCCCATTAACTAACATTTTATCTAATAGAAAATTCCCCCCAACTGAGATATTTCCTTACCTAGCAAAGGATGGTCAGAAGTCAAATCTTCCCCTCTCCCCACAGTTATAGCTGCTGGAGACAATGTGGGTGGTGGTGGGGTTCTGTCCATGCGGACACATTCATCTGACTCTTCTGGCATTTCTTCTTCACACACATCTTCTACTTGATAAACCTGCAACAACAAACCATACTGCCTTAAAATGTTGCTAAAAATACATTTAATAAGGTATTTCTCACCTATTAAAAAATAAATAAATTCCAAAGTGTTTTTAATTTAAAAACAAGGCAAAATGACTATTTGACAGGTTGAAAAGAAAACTTTAAAAATGAAGTTTTGCAAATTCTTGACAATATTCACTAAAAGCAAGTTTTGGATCAGTATCAGTTTTACAAATGACTAAGGCTTCAAAAAGGTGACAGTCAAGTCAGGACATATTTTTAATTTTGATAAGTTAAAGAAATGTTTTGAATTTACTATTGTTTCTGTTAACTTCTAATTGTGGTAAATCAAAATAGATATATTTTTCATTGGCACACTAAGTAAGTCTCCAAAATGACACACAACATATCAGGAAGTGTACTGCCTAAAGGACTACATCCCAGGCTCTTTATTGTATTTATGTGAAAGATTAAATTGAGAAAAGTAATACCTGAGTACCAAAAAAAGGTATGCATGCAATTATATCTTTCTTTAATCTTCTGATCTACTCAAGAAAATCAATAATTTTTTATAAGCAAATATCAGATAAACAGCAAATATCTGTCCCTGAAATACAACAAATGTACATGCGCGCACACACACACACACCACCCTAACCCTTTTGAGACATTAATTTTAGTTCTTTAATATTATTCTATAATTATAAAGTTTTTAAGTCTTTAACTTAACTACCTTGTTATTCAATTGTAAAGACTGTACTTAAACATGGACTCAAAAGCACTCAGAGAAGGAACCATATAACAAAGTATCACTTATTAATTTTTCAATAACTTTAATACTGAATTTTCAAAGTCCAGTTTTAGAGATTGACACAGGTACTTTGATTTGTCATCATTCTTTATTTAACCATTGTTTTTGAAAGACAGGCTTTTTTAAAAAAGCGGCTAAGTAGTTCACCTCCCTTTTTTTATGTGCAAAGCTTACTACTTAAATTTACAAAGTTGTGAGTTTTTAAGATTTACCCAAACTGATTAATATTTCTAATAAATGTTAAAACTAAAACTTTTCAACGTTAACAAAAAACTTTAAGTGATATCTAACACTGCATATATTTTTAATCAAACTATTGATAAAGTTTGATTTGAAGTACATAAAATTAAATATAAAAACAATCAAGATTTCTGAATCTAAAATAAACCAGATGTCATAAAAAGGACTATAAAGTTTCATCCACAAAAGCATATTTAATAAGTGATAGGTTTTTTAAAACTAACTTTACAAGCCTCTACTGAGAAATCTTCTGGCTTAAACACTTTTTTTTTTTTTTTAATCCTCATCCGAGGACATTTTTCCATTTTTTGTACAGACAGAGTGGGAGGGAGAGAGAGGAAGAGAGAGAGAGGGAAACATCGATGTGAAAGGGACACATCGAGTGGCTGCCACCCGCACGACCAACCAGGGCCGGGGACAAACTGCAACCGAGGCACATGCCCTTAGCGGGAACCGAACCCGGGTCTCTCCGGACCGCAGGTGGATGCTCTAACCGCTGAGCCAACCCGGCCAGGGCTGCCTTAAACACTTTTTAATCCTACTGATACTGATAATTTTATATCAAATATAATATCCAGAACTGTGATCCAAATCAGCTACTAAGTAGGCAACATTTTAAAAATATTTGCTCACAAATCTGCATTTGGAAACCTGTTTCACCAACAGATTCCTTGCCTCATGTCTGGATCCTCAGAAGTGAAAGCAGTTGTTCATTATTGTACAGTGTGCAATAACAATAGCTGTTAATATCTATACATGGTTGTTGTTTTTTAGTGATGATAATGTCCAACACAGGGGAGATCATCCAAAAAAAGTCCTGAGGTTAAAGAGGGGAAAAAATCTTCTAGTGAGAGGTATCTGCTGTAGTAGTGATTACCTTATTTTGGTGGAGTGGCAGAGATGTTGAGTCAGGGGTAATTAGACAAGTATTGATTTATCAACCAGTTCAATTTTATCTGTGTAGCACTCCTTTCTTAGATATTCTTTTTCCTCCAAAAATCATTATCTTTTCTTAAAATGCTAAACTCTCTTTAATATTAATGCTGTCACAAATTTTTTAAACACCTACCACAGTACCTTTTAAGGAATCAAAGTTTGATCATGCATGGAACTCTGATTTTTAAAAAATAATGAGAATTGTAAAGGATAAATAGAGGGATATTATATATTTTGAAATAATCCATCAAATAATACTGTAAAATACTTTTCATTCCTTATAGTTAAATCTAACTATACATTCTTCCAAACTACCCACGTAAAGGCAAATTAAGTTAATGAATAAAAGAAGTAGACAAAAGCAGATCTGTCCCAGATATCTGGCACCATGAGCATTAAAAAAAAAATCTGCCTGGCCAGTGTGGCTCAGTGGTTGAGCATCGACCCATGCACCAAGAGGTCGCCAGTTCAATTCTCGGTCAGGGCACATGCCTAGGTTGTGGGTCAAATCCCCAGTGGGGAGCATACAGGAGGCAGCCAATCGATGTTCTCTTCCATCGATGTTTCTATCTATCTCTCCCTCTCCCTTCCTCTTTCTCTAAAAATCAATAAAGAAAAATCTAAAGTCAACAACTAAAATATTGAGTAAAGCAAACAAGTAGAGGTTTTGCTTACAAGATCACTAGAATACTGCACATCACAATTTCTGTTTAGCTCATAATTACTATTCCAAAAGTAGCAATGCCTGCCAAACTTACCTCAATAAAGTACATTAGTGTCATCTGTCTCCCTTTCCTAACTAAACCATGGACTATTAATTATCTACTTTCACCACATCTTATCACACCCAAATATCAACGAAGAGATAAATATACTTACAAATATATCTCTTTAAAACACACTGATTTTACTTTGATAATTCACTTATCTTTCAAATTTTCAACTATTTTAAGAAATATATATATACTTTATATATATATATATATATATATATATATATATACCTTTAAATATTTGAAACAAGGAAATTGTGAAGAAAGGTGTCATTTGTGAAGAAATGTTATTTGATTAAAAAAAAATTTGGTTAAGGATAATAAAAGAAAAACATAGCAATTTAAAACTAGGCTATGGTACTCACAGAAAGGTATAAGAAAGATAACATGAAAATATCAATAGCAAGTAGAACATACCAGTGACAGCACAGAAAGTTATTTTCACACACACACACCTTCCAAAAATGAGATAACATAAATTTTAAAAAAAATCTTTTTTGAGAGAGAAGGACATGACAAATTAGACCATAAATATTTTATTTTTTACTTGCTAAAAAACAATTTACTGAACTAGAAAATAAATATAAATTTAAATTAAATTTGATATCTTTGAAGGTACTGTATACTTTGAAGCCTGTATTTTTGTTACAATATCTATTGTAAACTCTCCAAAATTCCTTTTAAAAAAATATAGAGACATGATAATTGAATGACAAACTTATTTCTAGATGCTCGTTGTTTTTGTCAAGTTTTGTTTTTAATAAAAGTGAACAGGAAATAAAATTCAATCTCTTTATGCCTATTACAGTCAAGAATAAAGAATCAATAAATTTTCCCCACTAAGGAACAGACTTTGAAAATGCTTTCCTTTATGAGTAAATGGTTATTGATCTTTAAGTGGTAAAGTCCCTGCAGCGAGATCTTTATATAAAAATATAAATCTCCTTTTGGGAAGACTGTTTTCTTCAGTTATAAATTATTAATTTGATCATTTTACCTAAAATTTTGAGACCTTATTCAATTTTTACTCTAAATTACTTTATAATTTAAAAAGTCCTTTAGAAAATGTTTTTAAAAAACATTTTTCAGGACAACTTTCCTTTCTAGGCAATATATACCATTTTTAGGGGTTTATTCTGATAACTTTCACCATACAATCTCAATTATTCAAAACTTTGACTCCCCCTAATGGACTTTTTTCATCTTCAGTATTCAATTCATCCACTGAGATTTTTTTACCTTTTTAAATGACAAATATTTTAAGTACACAATTTCCCTTAGTAGAAATTTAAAAATCAGAAGTTTAATAATTCTGAAAGATGATCTACAGTTAATATTTTTTGCAAAGTTGCATTCTTTCCTAGAATAAATGTTTTTACAATTTTAATTACAAAATATAGTTTTACCAGAAAATTGTATCATACGAGCATACCTCCACCTTGAAACAAAAGCTCCTAAAGGCATTCTGCATACAAACCAAAAAGGGTTAACTAGATAAACCATACGTTTAAGAACATACAACAGAAGGGATCTATGAAGGATAATCACCTTAAGAGAAAAAACTTTGTGCAGATGACACTGGTTCAAATGTATTCCCTTGGGGAAAAAAAATCAACTCTGTAAAGATAGCAGATGGATTTGTTTAAATAGTAATAAAATTAATGAGGGACTTTAATAACCATCACAAATTATCAAGCATGCAACCAGACTACAACAAATGGCCATTTTTTTTCCCCCATATAGCATGTTTGTCAGACACTGACAGATGTAAATTTCAAGCTTTTTAAATTCATAGGCATGTAGCTCTAGTAATATAATGTAATGTAGGGGAAAACAGTTTTACTTTCAGTTCAGCAAGAAAGTCAAAGAGCTTCCAAGGGCTTACCACTGGTGGATCAACAGGTGCTGGTGGTTGTACTTGTAGGTTTACCGCAACAGTCTGTGGAGGAGGAAGAGTCTGAAATGGCAACTGGACCAAAGCTTCTGCAGCTGGAAGCGCCTCTTCTGACACCAAAGCATTCTGTACCAAAACCTGGCCCTGGGACAGAATTTCAGGCTGCACTTGTAAAGACTGCATAGACTGTAAGGGCAGTGGTGGAATCTGAGCTGGAGGAGATGTTGACATCTGTGGAGGGGTTGCAATTGGGATTGGAGAGGACTGCAAGGTTGAATATTGCTGGTGTGATGCTGGAGACACAATCTGCTGACCTGGGGACACTAAGGCTGACTGCTGAACTGGGCCAATGTGTACAACAGGGGAAGCTGGAAGTGGAAGATGAGATGGAAGATTCAGCTGTGCTGTTGGTTGCACTTGATTAGCAGTGGACTGCTGCAAGTTTGGCCCTGGCTGAAGAGCTGATGACACAAGAGGGTGTGGCTGAATAAGTGCTTGTGGATGAATAATTATAGTAGGAGACTGACTTGGTGAATGAGGTGGTGGAGGAGACACCACTACAGACTGCTGTGCTGACTGTGAATGGCTAGGAGACATTGTTAAAGGAGGGGGATGACTCTGAATTGGTGAACAATGCTGCGACTGGGCATTACTAGGAGCTGGAGGAAGGCCATGATTTTGGAGTGGTATACAGTGCTGGGATGGGGGTGGATCTTGAGTTGGATTTTGGAGTGTGATTGGCTGAATTTGCTGTTGCTGCTGTTGTAGTATCAGCTGATGATGGGAAACCTTGGGAGGTGGTGAATGAAGAGGAATCTGCTGATGTTTTATTAGAGGATGAGGTTGAACTGGAGGATATGAAGCTGTGAGAGAAAAAAATGACAATTAGTATTATTTCAAAAATATCATAAAAAATTTTAAATAAATTTAAAGGAGGAAACTTTTTACATTAGAAGGTCATGATTATCAGAAAGTTATTAAAAGTCTTTCAGACAAGCCCTGGCCAGTTTGGCTCAGCGATTGGAGCATCTGCCCGCGGACCAGAGAGTTCTGGGTTCAGTTCCCACTAAGGGCACATACTTTGGTTGCAGTTTGTCCCCGGCCCCGGTTGGGATTGTGTGGGTGGCAATTAGTCGATGTGTCTCTCTCACATTGATGTTTCTCTTTCTTTCTCTTCCCCCCTCTCTCCCTCCCACTCTATCTGAAGATAAATGCAAAAATGTCCTCGGGTGAGGATAAAAAAACAAAAAAGTCTTTCAGACAAGAGTGATTTAAAAATGCAATGACAAACAACTTTTCCTGGAAAACTATAGATTTCATAAAATAAGCTGCACTGTGATGAGATTATCTAAAACAATTAATTTATAAACCTGTATCTCTACATGATTTATTCTTATTAAATTTTATAGGTCCTCAGAAAATCTATATTAACTTTTAACAAAGTCTATCCACTTGAATTCCTTCTTTGGGGAGAAGAGGAGTGTCAGTGAACAAGTATAATACATATAAAGATAACTTTAAAATCATAAAAATGCAATATTAAAATCCATAAAATAAGTCCCATCCTTTCTAATCTGCGTCTAAATATTCTTCCAACTAATTATCAATGTAATTACTTATGAAGCTTCCGAAATAAGTTACCAAACTTAACCAAGATGAAGAGCTGGTATTATTTGACTGAGGAGGAGAAAATGTTTTTGTACAAAAGTTAATTCAGCCCTAGCCGGTTTGGCTCAGCGATTAGAGCATTGGCCTGTGGACCAGAGAGGCTAGGGTTCAGTTTCTGCTAAGGGCACGTACATGGGTTGCAGTTTGTCCTCAGCCCCAGCTGGAGTCGTGTGGGTGGTAGCCACTTAATGTGTCTCTCTCACATCGATGTTTCTCTCTCTCTCTTTTCCTCCCTCTCGCTCTATTTGAGAATAAAGGCAAAATTGTCCTCAGGTGAGGATTTAAAAAAAAAAAAAAAAAGTTAATTCAGAAACTCCTAGAGCACGGTCAAATAATCACTATAACTAAGAAATGAAATTTCAGGGGCCCTTCCAAATCTTTGCTTGCAGAGAGAATGAGACAATAAAAAATTCATGCTGTCTAAATAAAGGATCTGGTTTTACTTCTCCCCCCACCACCAACAAAAACAAGCACATAAACAAAATACCTACAGTAATCTATATGTTATAGTACCAGTCTTCTCCACAGAGGAGCCACTCAAAACAGGGATAATATATATACAAAGAATTAACAAAATCAAGCATCTCCCTCATTATGCCTCTTTAGCATACTAGTGTTTGTATTTACACAAGGGAGATGGTGGTGCAATCCTCTCTATCTAAATAAGAATGGAAACTGGGTTCACTATAAGTGTAGAATCACTATGCTACACACACCTCAAACTAATATAATATTGTATGTTAACTGTAATAGAAAATAAATTTTTAAAAAAGAAACGGGGGCCAAGCTGATGTGGCTCAGTGATTGGGCGTCGACCAATGCACCAAGAGGTGGCCAGTTCAATTCCCAGTCAGGGCACATGCCCAGGTTGTGGGCCCGATCCCCAGTAGGGAGCATGCAGGAGGCGGCCAATTGATGTTTCTATCTCTCTGTCCCTCTCCCTTTCTCTCTCTCTCTAACGTCAATAAATAAAAAATATTTAAAAAAACAAAAACATTTTGCATCTACTTTTATATTCAGCCACATTTGTGACAAAGGCCTCATAAAAACTTGAAACAATTTTTTTTTTAAACATTTCTGCATGTGGTTGTTTGCTTTTTAATGGTTGTTTGCTTTTTAAAATTCTGGAGATCCAGCCCTGGCCGGTTTGGCTCAGGGGTTGTAGTCCAGCCCGTGGACCAGAGAGTCCTGGGTTTGGTTCCCGCTAAGGGCACTTACCTCAGTTGCAGTTTGTCCCCAGCCCCGGCTGGGGTCGTGTGGGTGGCAACCAGTAGATGTGTCTCGCTCACGTCAATGTTTCTCTCTCTCTTCTTCCCCCCCCCCTCTCCCTCCTGCTCTATCTGAAGATTAATACAAAATTGTCCTCTGGTGAGGATACAAGAAAAAAATAAATAAAATTCTGGAGATCCTTTAAATAAATTAACATCTGATTAACATCTTAAAAAAGAGGCATTTAGAAGGTTCAATAAATATCTATGAATTTTTTAAATAGAAATTAAGTCTAAAATTTCATCTAATCAAATAATTTTCATATAACTAGACTAGTATACTTCAAACTGAGACTGAAAATTTGTCGGCACTTTACAAATGTGTTGATAAAGACTCTATAATGAGTAAATTCTTGAATTTCTATAGTGTGCCTTTCCTTCAAAGGGCTCTAGTTACTTTCACACTGCTCATCTTACTAATAAAAAAAAATGCCTATTAAGTAGATAGGTATTATTCTCTTTTTACGGATAAAGAAATAGTGTGTTTACAAGCATAACAGCAAAGGCCCATTTTAATTCAATGTTTAAGTTATAATTAAAATTTATATATTCTTTAAGTACAACGGATATTATATTCACAGGAATAAAAAATACTTCTGTGCTCTAGAAGTAAGCAATCTTTATATTCTAGAGTTGATAATTCAACAGATTAACAGTCTATCCTTTCACCTAGATTAAATTTTTCTTTGATCAGAAATCAGTGAGGCTATTATATTAGTCCATAAGTCTAACTGACAAGCACATCTATTACAGAATAATTATGAGGCTATATGAAACAATACTTCTGTACAAGAAAAGCCCTAGTGCTCTGGAAAATCATATCATGCTTGCTTTTTTCTGAAATATATTTTATTATTATTATTATTATTATTATTATTGGCATTATACTTGAAGAATCCATGACTGGCATCATCTCTCACTTATATAGAACTCTTTAATAACTGTAAATAATCGCCTGGCCAGTGTGGCTCACTGGATTGAGCATTGTCCCCTGGACTGAGAGGTCCTGGTTCGATTCCCAGCAAGGGCACATACCTGGGTTGTGGGCTTGATCCCCAGTCGGGGGCATGCAGGAGGCAGCCGATCAATGTTTCTCCTTCACATCGATGTTTCTATCTCTCTCTCCCTTCCTTTCTCTAAATAATCAATAAAAACATATTAAAAATAATAACTATAAATAATATATTATTTTAAATTACTAAATACATTATTTCATTCAGTAGTTAAAACAACCCCATGAGGTAGACGGGGTATTACATTAATCCAATATATTACAAAAACCCATAGTCCTAACTGAGTCTGGATGGATTGAATGTTTGTGTCCCACAAATTTGTATGTTGAAGCCCTAAACCCAATTGTGACTTTTTAGTGATAGGGCCTCTAAGGAAGTAATTCAGGTTAAATGAGGTCAGAAAAGTGGGAGCTTAACCTAAGAGAATCAGTGCCCTTGTAAGAAGAGACTCCAGAGAGCTCATTATCCTCTCTGCTAGCACGAAGACGAAAGGCCGCGTGAGAACACAGCTAAAAGGCAGCCATTTGCAAGCCAGGAAGAGAACCCTCACCAAAAACTAAAACATTGCTAGATCTTGATCTTGGGCTTTCCAGCTTCCAGAACTGTTGCTTAAACCACCCAGTCTAAGGTATTTTTTTATGGCAACCTGATCAGATTAACACAGGTTTTTCATTACACAATGAATTAACGTCTGCAAAGAAAAGGGTATATATTTTTTCCAACTAGACTAATTTCATAAAAGCTATAAAAACTGCTATAAAAAAATTTGAGCTCTAATATACTTAAGGATAATTTCCAGACATTTGCCTTATATATATATATATATTTTTTTTTTTTTTAAATTCTCACCTGAGGATATTTTTCCATTTATCTTCAGACAGAGTAGGAGGGAGAGAGAGAGAGAAACCTCGACACGAGAGGGGACACATCGACTGGTTCCTCCCACACAGCCCTTACCAAGGCTGGGGACAAACTGCAGCTGAGGGAAGTGCCCTTGACTGGAAACGAACCTGCAACTCACTGATCCGTGGGCCGATGCTCTAACCACTGAGAAAGACCAGCTAGGGCTGCCTTATTTTATATAATAAAAATAAAATTATTAGCTATCAAGTGGGAACACCCCTTCAAGAAGAAATGAAGAAAACAAAATGATTTTAGCACCCTAAAAATACACAGAAGGAAACAACAACCATGTCCATTTTAATATTAGACTAAGCTAAATTGGAACACAGATTTTTTTCTATTTGAAAGTGACCTGTAGGAACAAGCATTTTTGTAATTGAGAAAAAGGACAAATTACCAATCCAAAAATGTCCAAAAAAAAAAAAAAAAGTTTAGCTTCAGATTAAACTTCTGACCAACAAGAAAAACTAAAAGGGTGGAAAATACAGCTTTTGCCAGAAGATACAAATTGCTTTGAATAATCACAGTGTATTTAATGAATTTATAATTTGGTAGCTGCAAAGGTTTATATGATTTAGGATATTCCATTTGGTTTTGTTGCTAATCACCAACACTGTAGAATATTCGAGTTTGGTTAATACACATAACATCTGCATTTGGAGTTGCAATTGTCCTGAGAGCCTGTTGGTTTTAGCTTATTGGTCTTCTCCATACCTACATAAAATAGTGGTCATAAGAAGACAACAATAAAGATATTATTGCACTTTCAATGAAAGGGGAACAATAATTGTCAACTTAGGACCAGGTACTGGGAGTTCAGGGAGACTGAAAATCTGAATATAGATAGATCTCTTTGCTTGAACTAACCCTGAAAAGGTTCCTAGCTTTCTCTGAAGGCAACATTCTCTTTGGAAGGGAATTAACCTACCCTCCATTATAATCTATCAATCCACTATAATCTATGGGCATCACTAGAAATTGTCCTGAACAGTCATTCCAAGCACAGTGGGTGATCGCTGCTCCTTACTGACTCCTTTCAGCACTAGCCAGAGGCTGGTTTGAGGCTGAGAATACAAAAATTCAGTATAAAAACCCTGTTATCAAGCCATACAGAGAGCAAAACCTGGCATGCAGATATTTATAAAAAAGAATTCACTGGGGGGAAAAGGAGAAACATCTGTAGCAAAAATTAATTAATTTAAAAAATATAAATAAAAAATAAGTTAATGAAAGGAAAAAAAGAATTCACATCTAACTATACTGTGAATAAATTTATTAATTTATACATTATAAAAAAGCTTGTACTTAGGTCTAAGATTCAGATTTAAGAATTCTAGGTAGTGATACCTAATTAATACAAATATAAAAAATTATGCTATAACTTCCATTATTTAAATGGAAAAAAACTATTAATTCAACAAATATTTACTGTCCACCTATTGTAGAGAAGTACATACAAGACACAACTTAGTACAGTCAAGATAAAAGGATGGAAAGGTGAATCTGAAAAAAGGATTAAAGAGTTAATAAATGGACCGGCCGGTATGGCTCAGTGGTTGAGCGTCGACCCATGCACCAAGAGGTTGCCAGTTCAATTCCCAGTCAGGGCACATGCCCAGGTTGTGGGCCAGATCCCCCGTGCGGGGCATGCAGGAGGTGGCCAATCGATGTTCTCTCTCATCGATGTTTCTATCTCTCTCTCCCTCTCCCTTCCTCTCTCTAACATCAATAAAGGGGGGAAAATGTTTTTAAAGAAAGAGTTAATAAATGTAAAGTGCCTGACACATACGTGCTTGATATTATTATCTTACCCTCAAAGAGGTTACCATCTAATAGAAGAGCTAAGATCATAGGTTTATAAATAACTATAAAAGAAAAAGTGCCATAAAAATGTTATACAAGTTCAGAGTAATGAGAGACTTCTAACTAGGGGGATCAAACAATTCCAACATATTGAGATTGGGTGATTTAGAGAATGTGGGCAGTATTAGCATAACAGAAACTTAAAAAGAGAAATATGTCTAGGTAGAGAGAATGCAGACTTCAGTAGTGTAAAATAAATCTTTAAAAAGTAATGCAGAGTTATAATAGGATAGAAAGATGCTTGCCTGATGAGGTTGGAGAAAAGGATTTTTTTTTTAATCCTCATCTGAGGACATTTTTCCATTTTTTGTTCAGATAGAGTGGGAAGGAGAGAGAAGAAGAGAGAGAGAGAGAGACGTGAAAGGGACACATCAAGTGGCTGCCACCCGCACGACCAACCTGGGCCGGGGACAAACCCTGGTCTCTCTGGACCACAGGCCGACGCTCTAACTGCTGAGCAAAACCGGCCAGAGCGAAAAGGATTTTTTTTTTAAATGAAACATATGTGAGGTGTCTAGCCCAGTGCATCACATATATACACACACATACACACACACACACACACACACACACACACACACACACAGATATTTTCAATAAACAATAGTTATAGTGGTATAAAAACATGTGTATAGCCCTGGCCAGTTTGGCTCAGCGGTTAGAGCATCGGTCTGCGGTCCAGAGAGACCAGGGTTCAGTTCCCGCTAAGGGCATGTACCTCGGTTGCAGTTTGTCCCCAGCCCTGGTTGGGTCATGTGGGAGGCAGCCACTCGATGTGTCCCTTTCACGTCGATGTTTCTCTCTCTCTCTTCCTCTCTCTCCCTCCCACTCTATCAAATAAATAAATAAATAAATAAATAAATAAATAAATAAATAAATACATGTGCATATATATTAAGATTAGGGGAGACCTAAGTATGCTGAAGAAGCAAAGAAAAAATCCAGCATAAGGGAGACAAAAGACGCCATAATAACTATGATAAAGACCAGGAGCCAGTAAAAACGATGCAATCAATGACACAAGCAAATATTGCTAACTTTAAAGAAGAAAGCGGATAATTCCTTATCTTATCAGAGTGAAGAAAGCTCAGCACTGACAAATTCTGAGATGAATAAAAGAGATGGTAAGAAAATTTGCTCTCAAAGGCCCCAACATTTTCAGCATGAGAACCATGAAGCAAGGTTATCTGTAGATAGCAGGAGTGCACATGGGATTCAAAGGTTGATGAGAAAGAAAATGACTTAGTTGATTCCCTGACATCTTCCTCTCAGAGGTGAAATCCGAGATGGAAAAAAGCAACATGGTATAAAAAATAATTGTGCATAATCCTTATTTTTGGAAAGTGATAAATTCCTCCCACTAATGACAATTTTACACAAAAACATAAAAACTTGCTTTTCTAAAGACTTTTAATTTTGTTCCACTAAAGCATATTAAATAAACTACAGACAAATCTTGTTTCTAAAGCTAAAAGGTTTTATTATCGCTGAGACCAGCACATAATGAAGATAATCAAATGTCAATTGATCAAAATATATATGTGTGTGTATGTATATATAAGTATATATACACATACATATATGTGTATTATTACAATTTGTTTTAATTGTTGGGCTCTTTTTTTATTTTATCCTCACCCGAGGACATTTTTGCACTTATCTTCAGTTAGAGCAGGAGGGAGAGAGGAAGGACGAGAGAGAGAGAAACATTGATGTGAGAGAGAGACAATGACTGGTTGCCACCCACACGACCCCAACTGGGGCCGGGGACAAACTGCAACCGACATATGTGTCCTTAGCGCGAACCAAACCCAGGCCTCTCTGGTCTGCAGGCCAATGCTCTAACTGCTGAGCCAGGGTGCTGTTGGGCCCTTTTGATTCTTTTTTCAAGCTACAATATTGAGATATTCTTTTTTAACTTATGAAATTCACATTTTGAAATGCTTTAAAAGTATCATTTTTATTCAAGTAATGGACATCTTTGTTTTTCTCTGCCTGTAATAAAATGAATAATGCAACTATTTTCAACAAAAGTTTTATCCCACCTGGTGCTATTAACTGGTGAATACTTGATGTCCGGGTGACAGCTGTGCTTCGTGATTCCAGACTTGGACTTTCTCCTTTCCTATTACTTTCTGGAGAAGGATCTCGTTGGCTGATTTTTGAACTGGTCACTGTTGTTTTGTTATGACAAATTGTCAATGACTGAGTATGACTAGTGCTTTTTGGTGGACCATTCTGTGAGCTAGATAACACACCCAACCTCTGGCTGCGTAATGTTAAATTCTGAACCTAAGGACCACATAACAAAAAATAAGGATGAAATAGATGGTATTAATTGATGTGGTAATCATTATCATTATAATGACAACACATTTATATTATGCTCTTCATACATAAGCTCCAAGCACTTGAAACAACAAATTAATCCTAAAGGAAAGGGGAGTTATTATTCTAAGTAATCAAATCTTAAAATATTGTGACATTTTTTAAAAAGATATTAAGGGAAAGAGAGAATCATTAAGAACTAAAAGAAAATGGAATATATATATGAACTATGAGTAAATTATTCTGCAACATACTGCATTTAAAAATTATTACCAGCTTGGAGACAGCTAACGAGAAGGAGAAAGAGGAAGGTTATTCTAAGTAAAGGGGAAAACTTGAGCAAACTTGCAGAGGCAGGGGAGCCCAAAGGGTGTAGGGAAGAATCTCAGTCTGACTGTTCCATGCCAGGATTGTGAAACATTTTAAGGTTACAAGAACCTCAAAAACTTAGATAATTAGAAGAATGTGGATACATAAGAAAGAGACAACAAAAAAGTTACCAGCTCTATAGAGATTATAAGGAACCACTAATCTTGTAAGAAAATTAATTCTTAAAATCACCTGCCCCATTGTGATAATTATGAAAATAATTTTCCATTAACTCCTTTTTTAAGATAACTTAGTTAGATTTCGTTATTGTATGAAACACTTAACTTGCCTCTGAGAACCAGACCTCACGAACTGAAAAGATTGTGCATGGCCTTGAAATGGTTTCTGTGATGGCTCCTGTCTATACCCGGTGTCATTCTAAAAATACTGCCAGTCTGGATGGTGGCAAGGATCATCCCAATTACAGTCATGTGAGGTTTATAACATTTCCAAACAGCCAGGCAGAATATGCCTCTCCAATAACTGCCTATGTTTTTGCCTATCTGTAATGAATGTACCAAATACATTTATACTAACCCTGGGAGGGAAATTGAAGTAAAAGAGATTCTAAAATGATACATGGCTGCTTTATAAATGTTCTTCAGTGTCATGTGTGTTCTGTCTCTACAACTGTATTATTAACGGATGCTCAAAAGCTATCTAGACCTTCTCTTTCCTTGTGTCAAATGAAATGTTCAGCCAATAGCAGGTGCTAAACAAATATTTCAGGGCAGTCGAGGTTTTCATCAGTTCCATACTAAGCTAATGCAAGAATCTTCTCAGTGAGACCATATGGAGTATCTTCTCTGATTTTTATCAAATATTTCATAGTAATATAAGTGGACTAAAAACTACTGTATTACTGAAATTTAATGCAAAAATAAAATATACTAAAACCCAAGTTTCTCAGCTTGCCACTCAAAGCCCTTCAAAGTCAAGGCCCAAAGCACATCAAGCCCCATTTTCCACTACTCCAGTCCATAATACTCATATCCTAGCCAAACTGTTCTATTCATTCTTTTCCAAACTACCTTGCAATTCCTTCATTCAGAGCCCTTGCTCAAGTTCCTCTTGCCTCAAATGCCATTCCTCCTCAACCCTCCTTCAAGGCCCAGTAAAAATCCCATTCAATCTCCCAAAGAATCCTCCCTAAAGTCCCTGGTTAGAAATAATCTCTCCTCCCTTAGCTAATGCTTTTCCCATAGAATTTGAATCATATTGGCCTATAGCAGTGACTAATGTGTAGCTTATTTTAGCGTTGCTCATGTCTGTGTCTAGCTGGCAGCCTCTCATCTCTGACATTCATGTGTGTACTCCTCAGTTCTGTGCCGCAGACATGACAGAAATGCCACAAGTCTGAGGTAGTACTATATATCTGATTCTCAAATATATATTTACACGGCTTTCTTCTTTCTTTTTTGTATTTATTTCTATTTATGGTTTTCTTAGACTAACATTAAAAACTATTCATATTTTACCAAAAAAATCTTAACAAATATCTAGTGGAGGCACATTAAAATCTTAAAAACTTGACAATTTAAAAAATTTTTTAAATTTAAAAAGCATATATATTTACAATGTAAATAAAGATTTGACACAATGTACCCTAAAACCTGCAGCAGTCCATTTCTATAAAATAATACACTCTTTTCTTCTAATTTTCCTTTTGTTTTCTAAAATTCTGAAAGAACATCTATGTGTGCGTATTTTATATAATATATACTACATATTTTTATATGTATAGATAAAATTTAGACTATGGCTATAAAACCTATGGTCATCTTGGCTTAAATATTACAATAAATTTCAAATATGTAAACTATACTTCCAAAGCATATTACAAAGTTAATTTAGCTACTAATAGGAAGATCATATATTCAGATTTCCTTGACAGAGCTTCACTTTGGAAGAGAACACATCCTTTCTAAATAAAGAACATTAGGGTGCTCTGATGTCCAACTTTCATTTCATCTAGACTTTTCCTATAATTAAATTATGGAAACTTTCTGACTTTTGAAAAAAGTCACATGAAGTAATTTTTGCTAATTTCATACCTTACATTTTTACAATGGTTTACCAAATACTCTCACACAAATTTTTCAGTTTGAATCTAAGAAATACTGTGTGAATTACTGTAGCATCCCTTCTTTGCCTAGGAGGAAACTAAGTGTTAATATTACATTGCTGGTAGTAGAGCTGAGTTTCTAAATTTTAAATCCAAAGTGCTGTTTTCTTCTCAATTCTCACTGCATTCCCCAGACAGTAAGATCTCTTACTTTCTATAAACATACCTTTAGTCCTATGATATATCTTTCTGAAAATAAATATTTTTAAATTAATAAAAATTTACATAGTGGGAAGAAGGGATGGAGCATTTAAAACAGTAAATAAAGGTAAAATACTTCGAAATTTCTCATTTTTAAACAGTATGCTAAAAATAAATTTTAATACTAAGGAAAAATTAACTGTTATACCGACTTCTAGCACTTAAAGAGTATGACAATAAAACTTCAAATTTGGTAGTTCTCAATTACACACTATTTTAAAAACTGAAAATATAACCTTTAAAATTAACAAAGTGGAGGCACAAATTTTTCAAAACTAACAGCCCTGAGAATTTGAGGAAAGTTACCACTGGAATATTCAAAGTATTAGCATCACTTACCACTGCCATTTCAAAAGCATAGCAGAGAAAAACATTGTAGAGAAATTCCTAAAGGCTCCTCAAAGTCTACCCTTGAATTAAGTCAGATCATCACAGAGCCACATACCTGTATCACATTAAACTGAAGCCACTTTTATAAATTACTTTACTGTGGTCATTATACTATTAAAGACACTGTACGATGTTTTCTCTGTGAGAACCCACAAGGCAGACTGTGCTCTAGAAAGCATGTTAGTGTATTTTCCTAGCTGGTTTATTTTACCTTGAGTGCTTGAAATCATTGTGTTGAGATTCACTATTAGCTACTTCCAAGCTAAAAACCAAATCTGTGACTCGTCTTTAGACAATATATAACAAAAATAGTAATTAGTAGCATGTGATATCTTACATGCCAGGCAGTATGCTAAGTACTTTACGATTATTGTCTCATTTATTCCTTGTAACAACTCTTGAGCTATCACTTCTAGTTTACAGTGAAGAAACTGAGGCTTAGCAAAAGTAATAATAATAAAAGCTAACATTTAGTGAGTGCTAACTTATATGTATGAGACATTGTTCTATTTTTCATTTATTAACATATTTAATCCTCACTACAACCTATAAAATAAGCATTATAATTATTTTGCAAATATTTATTTTATATTGTTGATACTGAAGCAAGAGACTAAGGATGTCCAATGACAAAGTGGTAGAACAGGTACCTGAACCCAGAGAGTCTGGCTTCAGAGTCCAAACTTATAAACATTATGCTGTACTGTGATCTTGTCCAAAATCAATTGGCTGGCAAATGACAAGGCTGTTGTTGGAGTCAGAATTTGGATCTAGGTCTTCCTCTCCCCACCATTGCAAAAAAAAGTACTAATGAGTGCCTATAATGTTCTAGACACTAAACATACATGTTACTCGTTCTTCAACCCACCCTGAAAGTATGTATGATTATTAGAGATGTTTGATGGCTTGTCTAAAGCCACACAACTACTAAATAACCAAATGAAGAGTTGAACTTAAGTCCATGCAGGACTTTAAGCATATAATCTGAATAGCCACCCCACTCCTAGCTCCATGCCACTTTCCTTTATTTGTGCTTTTTTTCTTGCATGTTTTCAATTTATTTTATCTTATTTTAGTGTATGCATCTTGTAAATCAATTAACATTTTAGTTGGAACAAAATATAAAAAAGAAAACTGAAAATATTCTGGAAGTTCATAATAGTCTAGCTCTATTATGTTTTTAAAAAGAAAACAGAAAATCATTACTCCAACAAATCCATTCCACAAAGAGACCTTGTAAAGGTTTAGAGCTGAAAAAAAACCTTAAAGTTAACAAAGACTAAGGTCTCATTTTGTAAATATGGAAACTAAAGTCCAACAAAGTTCAGTAATTGTGGGAGGGTCATAGAGCATGTTAGGGAAAACCCAAGTTCAATTGGTTAACATCTTTATATGCTAATAATTAAAACTGTTCTTTATTATTAAATAAAATATAGAGAGGGTCTATGAAAAGTACCAAAGAGCCCTGGCCAGTTTGGCTCAGCGGTTAGAGCGTCGGCCTGCGGTCCGGAGAGACCCAGGTTCGGTTCCCGCTAAGGGCATGTACCTCGGTTGCAGTTTGTCCCCGGCCCTGGTTGGTCGTGCGGGTGGCAACCGCTCGACGTGTCCCTTCACGTCGATGTTTCTCTCTCTCTCTCTGTTCCTCTCTCCCTCCCGCTCTATCTGAACAAAAAATGGAAAAATGTCCTCGGGTGAGGATAAAAAAAAAAAAAGTACCAAAGAATATTATTACTATCTCATTTTTTGCTTTTTACCAGAAGACTGAGGCTATTAAATTAGAAATAAGAAGCCCTGGCCAGTTTGGCTCAGCGGTTAGAGCGTCGGCCTGCGGTCCGGAGAGACCCGGGTTTGGTTCCCGCTAAGGGCACGTACTTCGGTTGCAGTTTGTCCCCGGCCCTGGTTGGTCGTGCGGGTGGCAGCCACGCGATGTGTCCCTTCACGTCGATGTTTCTCTCTCTCTCTCCTTTCCTCTCTCTCCCTCCCACTCTATCTGTACAAAAAATGGAAAAATATCCTCAGGTGAGGATAAAAAAAAAAAAAAAAAAAAAAAAAAAAAAAAAAAAAAGAAATAAGAAGCCAAGGATGATCCCAAGATAAAATAATTTCCATGGAAAAAATACCAAAATGGTATCATACAAAGTAATATTCTATTCAATTGTTTTAATTTAAAATTTGCTCACTTCATGTTTACCAACTTTACTGAGGTATAACTTACATACAATAAAATGAATGAACCAGTTCAGTGAGTTTTGACATATGTATAGAACATATTACTACCACTCCAGTCAAGATACAGAACATTCCCATCACCCAGAAAGTTGGCTCATGCCCCTTCCAAGTCAATCTTCTCCACCTTCTGCCCCAGGTACCACCAATCCAATTTTTTTCACTATAGGTTAGTTTTGCCTGTTTGGGAATTTCATATAAATGAAATCACAGAGTATGTATTATCTGTTGTTTGGCTTCTTCTGCTAATTATGATGTTTCTGAGGTACAGCAATTGTTGTTTTTCTTTGTTATTTCTGAGTAATATCCCACAATTTGTTTATCCATTCACCAGTTAAAGAACATTGGTTGTTTCTGGTTTGGGGCTATTCTGAATAGTGCTATGAACATCCACTCACATATCTTTATGTGGATATATGTTTTCAAATCTTTCACAGTAAATACCTAGAAATAAAATTGCTGGGTCATATGTTTAAATTTATAAGGAACTGATAAACTGTTTTTTTAGTGGCTGTACCACTTTACACTCTCATCAGCAATGTATGAGAATATGGCTGCTCCACATTCTCAAGAATCAGTCTCCTTCATTTAGCCATTCCAGTGAATGTATAGTGATAATCATTGTGTTTTGGATTTGCATTTATATAATGATGAATAATATTTAGTATTTTTTTCATGTGCTTATATATATCTTTTATATATCTTCTTTTGTGAAGTGTTCAAATCTTTTCCCCAATTTTAAATGAATTGCTCAAGATATTATTAGAGTTGTAAACACACTTTGCATATTCTGAATATAAGAACTTTGTCACATATATGTATTGTGAACATTTTCCCTTATTCTGTGACTTGCCTCTTCATTTTCGTAACAATGTCATTTGAAGAACAGTTTTTAATTTTAATAAAGTCCAATTTATTTTATTTTATGGGTGGTGTTTTTGTGACCTAAGAAAGCTTACTCCACCCTAGAGTTGTGAAGATATTCCCTATGTTTTCTTCTACAGGTTTTATAGTTTTAGCTGTTACCTTAGGTATACATTCTACTTCTATTTTATTTTTGTGAATGGTGTGAGGAGAAAATTAAAGTTCACTTTTTCCATAGTACCAAACAAAGTAATATTTTATTCAATTTTTAAATTGAAAATTTATCCAATTTAATTCATTTTTAATCTTAAAATCCATCCTGACTTAGTTATTACATAACTGCTTACAAAGGAATCTACACAAAAGAATATATCTCACATAACAAGAAATAAATCTGCTTTAGAATAAAACTAAACACAATGTCATAGCAAAAACTCATTTTCGCTAATGTCAATTTCTATAGAAGAAAAACAATTTTCTAGAAGTTCGTATTGTTTTATTAAATTTCAATCTGAAATGTGTAACAAAGAGTAAAACCATCAGTAACTTAAACACCAATGTATGTGTCTGAACAGCAGACCTCGAGTACCACATTATGAAGCTAGACAAGCTCACCTGAGTAGCTGCAGACTGACAGGAAGATGACGATGACGACGAGACAACAGGAATGTCAGACTGTACAGCAGCCACAGTGGTAGCGGGTGTGAAAATCAGCTGTACAGACAAAAAAACCAAAAAAAAATACCCTAAGACAAAAGAACATGTCTCACACACAATGTATAGCAGGCAAGGGAGACTGAATTTGTGACAGAAAGACAATGCAGTTTAGGACTGCCTCCTAAGCAAAAGGGTTTTACATGACAGAGAGAAGTTTCTGATAGAGAACTAAAAAAAAAAAAAAAAATTATAAACATTTTTGAAACAGCACATGATTCTGATGAGTAGAAAAATAAATAATTGCTGAAAAAAGAATGCATATTTCAGTAATATGATATTTTCATAGCAAATTTTGTCCCAAATAAGCTATTATACTTAGATTTCTCCCAACTCAAAACTACTGTGGCAGGATTCCTAAAACATAAGTTATAATAGACAACCATAGTCACTATTCTTGAATACAAATTAAAGTGAGAAACATGAAAAGAAACCTCAAAAGGTCTTTTCAGTCCTCTTTACCACAAAAGATAACTATATTTCGCTCAGCTACATAGGATCTATAGTACAAACCTAGGTTGCTCTTGATTTTAAAACATCTGTAAAGAAAAATTCATTCTAAATGTAAGTACTGGAACATGTCAGAATTCAACAACAAAATAGCCTTTAAAAAAAAAAAAAAGCTTCACATCAAAAAAAAATAATAATAATAATAAAGGAAGGAAAGACAAACTTGTTTTATTTACTAATATAATCACCATCTCTTTTCAACTTTTTTCAGTACTGAAACAAAATGCCGTTACTTTATTTATTTTTATTTTTTTGTTGTTGTTCAACACATGTTTATTTGTATACATATTGTGTCCCAGGTTACTGGAGTTAAGTAATTATTGGAATTAAAAGGTGAGAGTTTTAATTCATCAAACTACTCAAAACAGCTCATCTATAGGAGTTTAGTTTATAGGAAAACATGAACCTTAGACATTATCTTTTCAAACTACACATTTTGTAGCACAGGGAGCCAAGAGCAGAGAAGCTCAATGATTTGCCCAAGATAACCCAGCCAGTTACTGGCAGGAAGTTGACCCAGATCTCTTTACAGCTGTACTAAAACATGAGGAGAAGCAATGTAGTATGGGACCATGGTTTCAAATTTTGATTTAGCAGAGGCATGTTTTAAAAATCTTCAAAGAACTCCAATTTATAAAAGAAATCCAAGTGAAGTTTCTCGTGTTGAAAAGGAAGGGGGAACATGGCTCCCACCTTCTCAACGTCCTCCTCCTTCCCAAGGTGACTGTATTTTTAGCAAAATTAAATCAACATCAAACAGGCACAGACAAACTCAGGTTGGAGCCATTACTTTAACAAGGTAATACAATCCACTCAAAGATTATCCAATCCAACTCAGTAAATTATGACAGTTATTTCCAAGAATGTATAAATACTCTTTCAAAATTGCATCAAGTTATTCAGTTCCTCAAAAACCATTCCTGTTTAAATTAAAATGACCAATTAAGGGATCTTTTAAACTTCAGTTCTTTATAGTATATTAAACTTAAGTGACCTAAACAAAAAAGTATAACTTTCATGAGAAGTAAATTTCCAGTACAAACAGCTGAAAGCACTAAACCTAAAGAGATATTCTATTTAACTTGAACCATATGAAACTGCCAAGGGGTCAAAAATAGTCAAATTATAACCTTTCAAATGGTTCAGCGTAATTCTTAAGCATATTATTAATTACATAAAAGCTCATGGCAAAAAAACAAAAACAAAAAAAACCATACAGAATCTGTAAAAAAAGGTGAGTCATGTCATTGCTTCCTATCAGAAATATGATGGGGAACTCTTTCTTTGCAATTTTAGTGGAGATCTGGGGATCCAGATATATATTCAGTTCACTGGACAAGAAAAAAAGAAAGCATATGTATGCTAGGGTCAAAGTTTTTGTCTAGCTACCTACAAAGACAGAAAATAAATGTCAGCCAACTTCTTCATTCCTTAAGGAAGCTCAACAATTAAATTAGGAAATCAGAATAGCCAAATTAACATTCCTGTATTGATAAAAGTTCAAAGTGAGCTAAGACACACAAATCACCTCGCACATTTTGAGATGGGAATAACCAAAGCTAAGAATCATCTGGTAAATTACCAGAAATTCTAATCTAGATTTCAGAATATGCCACAATATAAATTCTAACTTATATTTGATAACCAAGTTTTTAACATTTCTAACTACTTTATCAAATCAAAGATTTGATACAATGATTTTATGTATCACTCTAAGTACCAATTATAATTGTGAGATGCCATCAATTTTAAAATGCTTCTCAGTTTCAGATGTTAAAATGTGAAAAAAAGTATGAAATCAATAAAATTTGATGTTAAAAAAATAATCACTCCTCTGTTATAGATCTGCCAGCTTCCCAATGTTGCTGATTACTATTTGATACACCACGAAGGCCTACCAATTAAAATGATTTTTCATGACATAAATGTATAAGAGTTGAGCACATACATGTAAAAAATTTGTTAAACATAACTTAAATATAAAAAATGACTCTTATTGCATCAAATCAAGAAACATTTTGATCTCTCTCAAGTCCTTAAACACTAAAAAATTTGGTAGCTCACATCTTACCATTTGAGCTCGGAGATACATTTGAGCTTGGCTTGCAGTTAGGGTAGGGGAGGTACTCCCTAGTAACATAGTCTGTTGGGTAATACTGCCGCTGGTAGAACTGGAAGCCTGGGAACGGCTTATTAACTGTGCAGGTGTAGGAGAAGTGGAGAGGTTGATCTAAGGAAGAAAACATATTAAGTCATAGGCTTCCATGTCACTGAATTTCACCAAGCTGCAGTTAGGCAATCAATAGTATATACAGTGGCTAAGGAATCTAAAAAAGAGGACTTCAACTTTGACAGACCTCCCTCACTTCTTTGGGAAATTATTTGCACAAATGCAAACAATAGCATTTACTGGTTAGTAATTAGAGCAATTTTGAAGGATATTTTCAATGTGTTTCAGTAAGATTCTAGTATCTTAAAATATCATTTTCACTACCTCCCAAAAAATAGGGCTAGTATTCCACTATTTTAATATTCCACATAATAACTTAAAACATTCAAATAAACAATTTACACTATTCTGTCAGATTCTGTCACGTTCTGAGGGATTTTTGAAGTGAAGAAAATTAAAACACAGATAATCCATTCATATACATAAAAACATACATGCAACATATAATTAGTGTAACATTCTCCTTCAAAAGCTCTCGGAAAAGAAGAAACTACAATTGCTACTTATCAAGCAGAGGAAAAATCCTGAACACTGGTTACAAAATTAAATTATACACACTATTTTAAAGTTTATAACTACTGTTAAAGAATAAACTAGTGTATAGTCTATTTCTAGGATACATAAGAGACTAGTAACTGGTTGTATCTGTGAAGGCAAACTGGGTGGAATAAGTAGGGAACAGGGCAAAGGGAGACCTGTATACCCTTTTTTATCTTTCCAATTTCATACCATATTCATGTATTATCCATTTGAAAAATAATATATGTGTGTATTTTTTAATCCTCATCTGAGGATATATGTTTATTAGTATTGTTGATTTTAGAGAGAGAGGAATAGGGGGAGAGAGACACAGAACATGGATCAGTTGCCTCCCATACTGTCCCCAACTGGAAATCGAACTCACAACCTTGGTATGTGCCCTGACCAGGAATTGAACCCACAACCTTTTGGTGTATGGGATGACGGTCCAACCAACTGAGCCACCAGGCCAAGTCTAAATAATATTTTTAATGAGAATAATATAATCCAATCTCAAATCCTTTTTCTGGACAAAGCAGTGAATAAAATTAAGAAATAAATTAAGAAATCGTTTATTAGACTTTTGATTCAAGCAACAAGGCAGACTGGATTCATATATACATGTGTCCAAATACACTCATTGAAAAGCTAAATCAACATAACAAATTCATATATTTTAAAAATTCATATATTTAAAAAATTTTAAAAAGGAGAGCCCTGCCCTGGCCAGTCTGGCTCAACAGTTAGGGTGTTGGCCCGAGGACCAGAGTCGCGAGTTTGATTCTAGTCAAGGGCATGTACCTCGGTTGTGGCTCAGTCCCCAGCCCTGGTAGGGATCATGCAGGAGGCAACCAGTTGATGTGTGTTTCATGTCGATGTCGATGTCTCTCTCTCTCTCTCTCACTCTCTCTCTCTCCCTCCTCCCCCCTCCCACTGTATCTCAGGATACATGGAAAAATATCTTCGGGTGAGAATTAAAAAAAAAATGAGTATCCCTAGCCAAGTGACTCAGTTGGTTGGAGCGTTGTCTCATACACGAAAAGGTTGAGTGTTCATACCCAGTTGGGGCAAATATGGGAGGCAACTGATCAATGTTTCTCTCTCTCTCTCCCTTCCCTTTCCTCTCTCTCTACAATCAATAAACATATCCTAGGGTAAAGATTTAAAAAAAGGAGGGGGAGCCCTGGCCGGTTTGGCTCAGCGGTTAGAGCGTCGGCCTGCGGTCCTGAGAGACCCCGGTTCGGTTCCCGCTAAGGGCGCGTACCTCGGTTGCAGTTTGTCCCCGGCCCTGGTCGGTTGTGCGGGTGGCAGCCACTCGATGTGTCCCTTTCACATCGATGTATCTCTCTCTCTCTGTTCTTCTCTCTCCCTCCCACTCTACCTGAACAAAAAATGGAAAAATGTCCTCGGGTGAGGATAAAAAATAAAAAATAAAAATAAATAAATAAATAAAAAATAAAAAAAGGAGGGGGAAATTTCTGGGTGCCAGAAAAGAATAAATCCAAAGGTGTAAAGTTCCAGCTGACACCAAGGTAGTCTAGGGGGATACTGGCCTACAAATATAGAAGACCTGATTTTGAACCTATTTCAGGGATAGTAAAACCCCTATTTTGAGCCGAGATCCTCAAAGGGGCTGCTCAGTATGTGAAAAGGGAGCTGCAGAAGCTCCACCTATACACCCTGAGAAACAGCGAGGCAGTTTGCCATCTGTCCTGTTCCCAGTGTAGAGAGAGAGGCTCCTATGAAAATCAAAACCAAGGCGTGCACCATGTGGGGGTACAGAATAAAAATGTACACTACCTGTACAGTTTCATAATCCATCCCAAACATTAGCATTTGCACTAGTCCAGGGCATTTGTTAAACTGAACAAGTGAATGGAGGAAGTTGAGTGAAGATTATAGAGGAGGACTTCTCTGTACTATTTTTGTAACTTCATATATGAGTCTACAATTTTAAAATAAAATTGAAATTTTAAACTGTAAGAGGGTATACACGGGTTAGTTAATTGATTCTCTAAATTTAGCTGTATCTTTCAAGTCTTTATTTTAATAAAATACTTAAACCTGTAATTCACTACATAAACACAATATAATATACAGAATTAGTCTGCAATCTGAATTTTACTCCTCGCACACTACCAAAACCCCATTAGCAATAATCAGTGTCCTCTCTGACACATTCAGTGAATTGTTTTCAGACTATTCCTTCTCGACCTTCTTTCTGACCCATCTTCAAAGGGTTCATGCTTTGTCCTCAACACTTTTGTTCTTAAATTTCTAAATTATCACATCTATTTCCACAGTTTCAAAAATTTTTAAATCATGGTTACTCTCAATCCATGATGCCAAACTCTTATTCTGAGCTCCAGATCCAAATACCTACAGAACACATCTTACTGGATGTCTCTTACCAACTCAAAATGAACATGTTCAAACACCAAACTCACTATTATTCCTTCCTAAACTAGCTTTTTCTCAAATGACCACCAGCATCTTTTAAAATCCCCCAAAAGAGATCATCTGGGAGTCATCCTGATTCTTCCCTCTCCTTAACCACACATGTATCTTATTGATTCTACACCTTTATTCTCATTTTCATTTTGATTTTTAATCACTTACAGAGTCTGGGCTCATGGCACTTCCACCTAGATTTCTTTAGCAGCTGCAAATTGATCCCCCCTACCTAGAATCTGGCCTGCTCTTCCTTGCCAGATAATCTTTCCCTGATTTTATTAATATTAATTAACCATTTATAAACCTCCTATATAACATCAACTTCCCCCGACTCTAGCATCATGTCCTCCCACTTTTCTATACAAAACCTTTACATATGCCATATGAAACTATTTGCAACATGATGATTTCTCAGGCCTCTATGACCCTGGTAACAATGTTCTGGACTAGACTGACTATCCCCCTACCCCCAAGCCTCACCTCCCTCCATCTATGTAGTGAACAAAAACTCCCTCTCAAAATCTTCAGCTCTAATAAGCTTTATCAGGCATCCCTACATCCCATAGTAAAACTATTTCCCCACTTTTTTGTCTAACTATAATCTTCTATATACCCTGGTATATACTTCTACCCTTCTAAATAAGAATTTATTTAAGGATGGGGACCGTGTTTTATTCATCTTCATATATCCAAAAAGTGCCTTCATCTAATAATACATTAAGTTAATAAATGCAATGTTATTTTAAGGCATACTTTAGAGTTTTGATGTAATACATAAGCCCATCACAAAGAGCATGAGTGTATGAGGGAGAGAGAGAGACACAGTAATTTTGGTATAGCCCCTAACAAAGCAGAGTAAAAATGTAGAGAGTGTGGTGATATTAGTTCAACTCTATTTTTATGTGATATATATATATATATATATATATATATATATAAAATAAATTTTTAAAAAATCCTCATCCAAGGATATTTTTTTCTATTTATCTGCAGATAGCATGGGAGGGAGATAGAGGGAAGGAGAGAGAAAGAGAGAGAAATATCGACGTGAGAGGGACACATTGACTGGTTGCCTCCTGTAAGACCCCGACCAAGGCTGGGGACTAACCAAAACCGAGGTATGAACCCTTGACCAGAAACGAACCTGCGACTCATTGGTCCACAAGCCAATGCTCTACTGCTGAGCCAAACCGGCCATGGCATAATAAATTATTAATAATCCCCCCAAAACATAATCTTTTCTATATCACTTACAAATAGATATTTTGGATAAAGCCTTGCTCCAAAGATTAAGTCACTTAGCAGTGTAAAACTGATCCAGGCTTTTCTTGACTCAAGTATTTTGGCATTCAGGGGGCTTTTCTATACCTTGAAAGCTCAATAATTTGGGTCACTCTGCAGTAATAATGCCTTGGCAATTTTTTTTTTTAACATGGAATTGAGAGAGACACATCAACTGGATGCCTCCCGCATGACCTGGACCAGGGCAGGGGACAAACCGCAACCGAAGTAACGTGCCCTTGACCGAAATCAAACCCTCGACTCATTGGTCCGTGAGCCAAGGCTCTAACCACTGAGAAAACTGGCCACGACTGCCTTGGTAATTTTTGTCAATCAGTGATGGGAGAGGAGGAAGAGAGAGGCTAACTGACTCTGGTAAGCACAGACCACACACTCCTTAAACAAAAACATACCAAAAGTCTTTTTAAAAAATGACTGGCTGATAGCTAAAATGCCTGAGTACTCTTTAAGGAAGTAGAACACAAAGTACAGATAGAACATTTTTATTTTTCTTAAAAAAGAAAAAAAGGAAGTAAGAAAACTACTAGTTACTTCCTAACCACCTGCATTGCATTCCACTTTGTCTAAGTTGTGAGATCTAAGAACAAATAGTATGTTTATTTTTAAGTTCCATATAGCAAATAACATGTCAGGCAATGTCTACTAATGAATGCCCAACCCATGAGAGTAAGTAGATCAGAACTCACCTCGGCAAGAAGTCCATCTCCACATTTGGCCTAAAAGAA